ATAGCGCGGTCTATCGTAGCACCCCCTTTTTTCTAGCGCGCGCTAGCCCGCGCTATCTCTCGTGGACCACCCCCAAGAGGTGCTCCAGTGTTGGCTCGCCGTGGCTCGCTGTTGGGCGGACCGAAACGACGTTGTACCTTCCAAACCGCGGAGATAGCGCGGTCTGGCGCGCGCTATCTCTGCCGGTGTGGAAGGTACAACGTCTTTTCGGTCCGCCCAACAGCGAGCCACGGCGAGCGAAAACGGCGTGCCACTGGAGCACCTCTTGGGCGTGGTCCACGAGAGATAGCGCGGGCTAGCACGCGCTAGAAAAAAGGGGGTGCTACGATAGACCGCGCTATCTCATTGCGGTGTGAACAGCCTCTAAGACCCGCTCCTCAGGAGCGGTTCTTAGGTGAGTGAGAACGCTCAAAGTGGTCCAGGAAGCGACTTTTGGACCGCTCCAGAAGTCCACCTTCTGAGGTGGTCTTGAGGAGCGGGTCTTACCCAGGACCAAAATCCAGTTGAAACCAATTGGAGCAAAACCAATTGAAACCAGTTGCCAACTGGTTTCAATAGGGAAATTGGAACAACTGGTTCCAATTGAAACCAGTTGCCAACTGGTTCCAATTGAAACCAGTTGAAACCAATTGCCAACTGGTTCCAATTGAAACCAGTTGAAACCAATTGCCAACTGGATCCAGTTGCCTAATTGGTTTCAACTGGAACCAGTTGTTCCAATTTCCCTATTGAAACCAGTTGGCTTCAACTGGTTTCAACTGGTTTCAATTGGTTTCAATTGGATCCAATCGAAACTTACAGTAATTGGCATAAACTTAATTAGTTATAAGTTAATTAGCTCTTGCACTAATTATCGCTCATGTCAACACAGAAACATTGTTATATGTGTCTACATTAAGTACAATGTAAAGGGCATTATAATATGCAGACCATATAATATACTTAACAAGGAAGGCATTGCCATTATATATGTTTGTAATTGATGTATTTTGTACATGGTTAGTGTTTTACTCATCAACTTTTAATCTGTGTAATTACAAAAATATGTTACTAATGAACATGCTTATCATTGCTAATTAATCTTTATATTTATCTAAAACAAATGCATTACTTGCAAATGAAAATTAATTAATAAGTACATTGTAAATCAAAATAAATTACATAAAACATTGATCTGCACACAAGCATATAATATGCAAATTAACTGGTTTCAATTGGATCCAGTTGGGTAACTGGAAATATTTCCAATTGGAACCAATTGGGTAACTGGAAATGAATTCTAACTGGAACCAGTTGGGTAACTGGAAATTATTTCTAACTGGAAATGAATGCTAACTGGAACCAGTGGGAAACTGGAAATGAATTCTAACTGGAACCAGTTGGGTAACTGGAAATGACTTCTAACTGGAAATTAATGCTAACTGGAACCAGTTGGGTAACTGGAAATGATTTCTAACTGGAACCAGTTGGGTAACTGGAAATAAATTCTAACTGGAACCAGTTGGGTAACTGAAAATGACTTCTAACTGGAACCAGTTGGGTAACTGGAAATGACTTCTAACTGGAAATGAATGCTAACTGGAACCAGTTGGGTTACTGGAAATGAATTCTAACTGGAACCAGTTGGGTAATTGGAAATGAATTCTAACTGGAACCAGTTGGGTAACTGGAAATGAATGTTAACTGGAACCAGTTGGGTAACTGGAAATGAATTCTAATGGAACCAATTGAGTAACAGGAAAATCATCTTACTGTTTCCAGTTGAACTTCTAACTGGAACCAGTTGGGTAACTGGAAATGACTTCTAACTGGAACCAATTGAGTAACTGGAAAAATTACCTTACTGGTTCCAGTTGCACTTCTTATTGGTTTGAACTGGAAATGAGTACCCATAACAATATTTTCCAGTTCGGCAATTGGTTTCAACTGGAAATTTTCTATTCCAATTGAAACCAATTGAAACCAATTGAAACCAGTTGAAACCAATTGAAACCAGTTGGAGATTTCAACTGGTTTCAATTGGATTTTGGTCCTGGGTATTAAGAGCGCTCCAGAGCGCTCTAACGTGCAATGTGAACGGAAAGCGTACTTTGAACGGAAGTGAGCTAGTGACCTTCGGTGCGAAACATGTAGTACGGTACATACGGTTTGGATTCCGCGCGCGAAAAAATTGACCCGCCTACCTGAGCTGCCATAGCAACAAGACCACCTTGACTCGTGGAGCGGTTTGAGCCATAAAAACTGCTCGGAGTGTGAACGCTCGCAAACCGTTCCTCAAGACCCGTTCCTCTGGAGCGGTCTGGAGCGGTCTAACTAAGACCACTTTCAAAGTGAGTGAGAACGGGGTCTTAGTTATAAAATTATTTATTTGGTTAGTTTTTAAACGGCGTCTAGCTCGCTCATCGTCGAATAAGGTCAATGGCGTCTCACGCCACATATTCAACGTGTAAAACTCCTGTGAGCGCTCAGGCATGAGCGCCTCCTCATTAACATCACACTATGAATATGACAGACAAAGACAGCGGACAAAATATACAGTTCCTCGGGCAGACAAAGGAACATCCCTTCACTGCTATTTGGTAAAAAGGTGTAGAACAGGTGTCACATGCATATTCACCTTTTTACATAATAGCAGTGAATGGATGTTCCTTTGTCTACCTGAGGAACTGTATATTTTGTCCGCTTTCTTTGTCTGTCATATTCATAGTGTCAATTCCAACCCACTTTAGGCACCAAAAGGAAATTGTATTGTCCCTGGGTTAGAGGTGACATTATCGAACTAATGACAAGACGTGATTCATACTATAGACAAGCTATAAGAAGTGGTAGTAATTCTATGTGGAACAAATATAAATATAAAGTCAAAATATTATTACTAAAAACATACGATTGGCAAGGTTTGAGCATTTAAATAGATTATTGCAAAATAAATTTGGAAATACAAATGAACTTTGGAGCACCTTAAAGGTCATTATCAAAGGAAGGTCGAGAAATTAAATCAGTCTAGAAATTGATGGTGACACTGTTTCAAACTGTAAGCAAACTGCTTGAATGATTATTTCATTGAATTCATCACAAATTTGACAACTATATAATGATGTAAATGGTACAGAAGGCATTGGAGAAGTAAGAAGAAACTAGAAATGCAATCGTGTCACAACGATATGCGTGCAATGACGCCATGTTTCCAGGCGCGGATCCAGGATTTCTTAGGGGAGGGGGCCCAACTTTTTTTTTTTTTGCTCCCGAAAATTTGAAAATCGCGCTGGCCAAAAATTCGCTCAGTGGGGTGGGGGGGGGGGGGGGGGGGGGGGGGTAGTGAGAACATTTTTTTTTTGATCCTCAAAAAAATTCAATTTGCACCCCCCCCCCCTTGAGCGCCAGGGGGGGGGGGGGGGCCAACCCCCCAAAAAGGTAAAAATCACGTGATTTTACATGATTTTTTTTTCTCAAGGGGGGGGGGGGCCTGGCCCCCCCCCCCCCTGGATCCGCCACTGCATGTTTCTACGTGTCAAACGAAGGAGCTTCTCTCGGAAAATCCAGAGCAATGTGTAAGAAGTATGTAGCTTCTGTGATAGTGAAGATAAGCAGGGCGAAAGAAAGGTCACCAAAACGGGCCGAAACGGACAAAATGGGGCCTGGACGGTCACGCATGCGGGTTTCCGGAGGACGAACAAATTAGTGACCTTGAAGGAACGCTAGAGACTACGCCTGCTAGGCGTTGTGGCGTGCGCCTGTAATCCAGCCAATCTCAGCAATGCAATCCTGCCACTGTGCTGTAAGATCACTTTCAGATTCGGAGAAGTGTATTCTCTATAATGGAACGTCTCAACTCAGCAAGCAAGGCTGAGATTAGTAAAAATTGTTTTTACAAAGAAGATTCTGGTGAATAGCAGTGCTAGCTTATTCAAACAAAAATAATATTTGCACAATTTGAATCACAATCATTATCTGTCGCTTAATCCTTTTTAATGACCTTGTTTTCTTTCTCGTTTGCAAGGGGATAAGTAGCTATGTCACGTTCATGACAACATAAAGATAAGTGTTTTATGTGTACATATTATAAACACAGGCCCTGCGGAACGTTTATCAAAGTCGCCGCTAAAGTATTTACGATCAGGTAGAGGGTAGCGAGCGAAGCGTAAATCAGTGTGAGGGGGGGGGGGGGGGGGGGGGGTTCAGGGGGCAGAGCCATTGAGAAACAGCATGGCATTAGTCTTTCATGCTAATGTACGTGGCTCTGTGACAATGACAATGACAATGACAATGATTCTGGGGCATGGAAGAAATACAGTTGAATAGTACATATATAATGCTCAACAATGATATCCATATAGAAAATATTTTTTTAAAACACACACAGAAAATCTTTAAAAACAAGAAAATCTTTGGCAGCGAACAACAAACAAATGAAGGCAAGCTTAAGGGTAAAGGTCTACTTAAAAAAATAAAAAATAATAATACATGAAACCCTACATCTCAACTGACAGTACTAACACTACTATATACATGTATGTACACTATGCTACTAAAAACGGCAACAACCAATTAAACAACAACTCTAAGATATTAAAAAGGACAAAACAAATTATCCAAAATCAGACATAATGATCTGTGATAACTGTTTCATTCCATTGAAACTTGGTAGAACCAGGGAGTTCCACTGATCCTATAACTCCCTGATAAAACTATAATCATCGGTGTTTCAGTCATTGTTATGTGGATTAATGCCAACTTCTTATTGACTACGACTTGAAAGCGTAGTCAGCTAATCGTCTGTATAAACTCCATGTAATATTTATTTCTAAGAAAGTGTGAGGCCCCTCCAAAATAGAGCACCCTTACACATTTTGGTATCTACTGTATCTACTACACATTTTCAGTGCATTACTTTAACCCCTCAAGTGTGAATACATCACACCCCCAATTATAATGTATCAACCCAAAATCCCCCGAGCTCAGTGGTACACCAATACTTACAATACATGCTAACTGTTTCTGATCCTTTCCACACCGTTTCTTTCACAATGCAATCGCATTACCAGTACTAAAATTTATCTTTAAGCTACGGTCACAAAGGTTCGTACGAACGATTATTTCGTACGAATCACCTTGTTTTCCAAGGTCTTCCCGAATTTCCATTGTCTGAAAATCGTTCGTACGGCGTTCATAGCAGTTCGTAATGGCATTTGCGACCGAGGCTTTAGGTTGTCGTCCTCATCGTTGCTGATGCCCATACACATTGACTGACCTTTGTTCTCTCTCTTTTCATTTCAATTTACAGGTAAGAAAAGATACATTTTATCATTATGATGATTGTTACTGTTGTAAGCTTATATGCTATTGATATGATTGTAATATTCTGGAGAAGATTGGAATGTGGTATCTTCTCATATTGATGAGCTTGTTTTATGATAATTATGTCTTCATAAACTTGTTGACATCTGCATATATAGGAACATGTGTATAGTCATAGCCAGTGTTTTAATGTATATAAACCCCGGCCCCCCCACTCAGGTTTCAAAATGACCGCATGCGTGTTGCCAAAATGTCCTTTTCGTAACAAAAGAAAAAGGTCGAGCCGTATTGACTTTACACACCGGACTTTTGCTGAAAAGGGGGGGATGCTGAAAAAGGCTCGTATACAAAAGAAAAAGGTCGAGCCGTATTGACTTTACACACCGGACTTTTGCTGAAAAGGGGGGGTCGGTTGGAACACGCATATGCGTACCCTAAATAACACTGAGTGGGGGGGCCGGGATATAAACACACTCGTGTTGCAGTTTGGCTGGTTGTTATCTATTACGTAAGAGTCGTGAACTCTCCAGGCTTATTGCCATGACCGCTGGAACTTCTGTTTGCTTTAGGATTAACTAGGAGGCAGTAGTAGATGAAGGGTTAAGATATAGCATGCTTGAAGAAAGTGTTATCAGTAATAGGACACAGTGGTTAGTGACTGTGAGAGTGAAAGGGTTAAATTGGAAAGGACCAAGAGACCAGCTCAGAAATGGCAATGAGGTGCATACAGGGATTCTGTGGGATGTTAGTTATGGCTGAAATGTTAAATCTGCATAGAAGTTTCCATAGGATTGAGGGATCATCTCAACAGTTTAAACTCAAGACTGTAGGATCTCTTCTTAGTATTTTGGCTATGTTTCTATATTACAGTTTAGATTATAGGTTAATGAGGAACAAACAGTTATATATTGATTATGAGTAGAGTTTAGAATTATTGAAGACTTTTGCTGAAGATAGATGATTTAAAGGTACTATGTCCCTTTTGCAGCCAACCTCAAATGCTGTAGAACTTTGCAGGAATTATGAATATGTCATGTATGTCCTATCTGTGAAATTTAAACGTTAGCAGTGTCCTCATATTCAAATTATGCAAGTAAACCCGTTTACTTGCTAGACTTCACTGTCAGACACTATTGAGTGACTGACTGGCTTTTTTTCTTCTTTGGTAATAATATACATGAAAAGAGTTGTAAAGGGAGCATTTGTCTACATCAATAACCCACTTCTTGTGATGGCCAAGATTAAACTGATTGAATATTTGCGCAGCATAAAACATATGACCATTCGGTACAATTGTCTGAAAATCAAGACTATTAATGTTGGGCTCTATAGCCCTAAAGTCGATTTGACAACTAATAGTCGTTATTTTCCCACTTGAAGACATTTTCAAGCCCCATCTTTTTTAGGGAAGTTCTAAATTAGTGTTATCCTTCAAATGCAGTTGGAATTTAACTTTTTCATTTTTTGGCCTGCAAATGGGACATAGTACCTTTAAGCCTGTTAGTATATTGACGTTATTTTAGTAGTTAGTTACATATACATGTATTATATTATTGTAAACATACATGTATGTATGTATAGACCTATGTTGTATAAATGCATGTACTTGTAACGAAGTATATATATATATGTATACGTATATATATATATATATATATATATATGTATATATGCAGTCTAATATTTCAGCACTACACTCTTCACCTATATCTTGCCATTATGTTGTTTATGCATGTCATACACTCCATTGATACTATGTTGCAGTCCTCTTCTTTTCCTCTCTTTTTTTCTCTTTCTCCAAGCTCTCTATCCTCCTCTCCTCTTTGCCTATCCCTTTCTTCCTTTCTCCCATTTATAATGGATAATAATTGTATTTATGTATTCGGGCTACAAGCTATGCTCTTCGGGTTTCGCGCCTTCTTCCTTGTTACAAGTTCTTTAATTATACTTATGTTCCTACTTATAAATTGTATTGTTTGGAAGAAAATAAATGTTCGTTTGAATTGAATTGAATTGAATTTCTTTAGTTACAGAGTGTGTTAAAAGGACAAGTTAAAATGAGTTAGAATAGTCATAAGTCGACTATGAGAGGATGAAGTCCATCCATGATTATGTAAATAGTAATTGTAACTTGACGTATTGCCTTGAAACAAACTCTTAATAAATTATCATTCTTGCTGATGCCCATACACATTGACTGACCATTGTTCTCTCTCTTTTCATTTCAATTTACAGTTTTAACGCCCTCCCATCGAGGGGGCGGTAACAAAAGTGTACAACAAATATACTGTGCTGCATATTCTGTTTCGACGTCCATCGTGACTATATTCGAAACGGACGTCGTTAAGCTTTTAGTGGACGATGTTGGATTTAAAAGGTTTCTTTTCGCTGTGGCGGGTGGCGTTCGCATTTCACGTCTGCCTTGCATTCGGCCGTGGTATACTACTGTCCTTGCCGGTGATCATCGACGATATCACAGAAGACCTTCAAACGACCACGGCTGCAGTCGGGATGATATTTGCAACATTTCTAGTTTCTTATGGTATTTCAGGTACTCCTTTTAACATTTTATTTAGATAAATTACATCATTAGTTCATTTCATTTTATTACAGTTAAATACCCTTCCTTTTACCCAAGTAAATTATTAATCAAATAATAGATTGGGGGCGGTGAATCTTGACTACCACTAGCACTAGTTGGCTGTAGACCAAACCAGAGTCTGTATCCACAGACTTGTCAGAGTGAATCTAGGTATAGATTATTTATTTTAGTATTGTCAGTGCCTGGGTTTTTGGAAGCATTGGCAAAGTTTATCGTGTCTTTATTATTGCATGCAGTGGCGTACGCATGATTTTTTCAAGGGAGGGGGTTTAACATTTTGAAATCGGGCCAAAAAAATCGCTACGACTCAGTCAGCCGCTGAATAAGCAGGGGGGGGGGGGGGGGGTAAGAGGACATATACTTTTTTTGGTCTCGAAATTTGAAAATTTGACCGATCGACATTACGTTCTGTTGGGGGGGGGGGGGGGGGGTTCTCAAAAAACATACACATAAAAAAAACTGCATACGCGACTGATTGCATGATATCTATAATAGCAAGGATTATTTCTGATAATTCTTATATGGAAGATATCCCCAAACCAAAAACGAAACCAGAAGGAAGCCTAAAATGTATATGTCATTGTTGTTATCCTCTCTCGATAGGTCCTTTGGTATCATACGCTCTCAACGTTGTAGGTTGTCGTACGGTGATCATGATAGCTGGTGTTCTCATATCTTCAGGGATATTCCTCACGGCGTTCGCACGACATATTGCCTTCGTTTGGGTTGGATACAGTTTGCTTGGAGGTAAAAACTAATTTTGCTGAATTACACTTTTTTTTTCATCAACCGAAAAGGACAATGAGAGGAGAAAGAGAAAGAGAGAGAAATAGAGAGAGAGAGAGAGAGAGAGAGAGAGACTGAGAAGGGTGAGAGGGGAAAGATGGAGAAAGAGAGAGAGAGAGAGAGAGAGAAACGAAAACTTAGTGGACTGGTAAGCTTCTCTACGTTTTAGTTGTATCATGTAGACCCTATTTTATTAGGCCCGGGCTTATTTTTTCGTTATGATACTCGTTGCACACGAAGCGTCAATTCGATGCGTCAATGTTACTTACGCAAATAAAGGTTATCATGAGGAGATTAGCACATGCGCCAATACTTTCCAGGCAATGTTTGCATTGTTCACTTTTGCCTTTTCTCGCATGGTGGCCCGGTCAAATACCACGAAATATAATCACATTTTCACTCATTGAAGATAAGTATCTTAAGTTGTCATTTTTACCTGGCGCAATAATGACCCCACCAATAGCTGACGCAGTAGCTACGTCTATAAAATGACGTTTCGTGTATAATGGCCTGATTTCGAATGTATATGTACCAACGCAAATTAACTGATTAAGAAAATAAGCGCATGTTCCAATTCCACTCAAAGCTTGCATCGTTTATTTTGCATTCACTATTGTTTCATTTTTACACGATGCGTCAATAATCACACCAGTTGCTGACGGCCTGACACAGTCTTGTGCCAGTAGCACGAGCAACGTGTGTTACTCTCTTTGGAATCATAAAGAAGATTATGTGTTTATCAACTCTTTAATTTTATGTTTACACGATGTTTAGGGATCGGATCGAGTGCCATCTACACAGCATCTACAGCTACCATTCGACAGCACTACTCTGACCACCACTACGCCCTAGCTAATGGAGCTGCAACAACTGGCCTCTCGTTCTCGGTGTTGATCTTATCTCCAGTACTCCGAGCCCTTGCTTTTGCCTACGGATGGAGAGGGGCTTTGGTCATTGGCTCGGGCATAACGCTCAACAGTGTCGTCATTGGCGCACTCATGAAACCCGAGGTCGTCAGAAAGCGAAGGACCTTGGTCGGTGATGAGGGCGAAATAGGCAACGTCAATGACCACGACGGCGATAAAGGTGATGTTGACAACGGGACTAATGAGGTTCTGCTTCGACCATCTCCGTCTGACCATCAAACTACTGCTACCGTTCTGGAGTCTTCAGAATCACATGACCAAGAAAGTTCTGCAGGAGTTTGCAAAGACTGTAGTGGATCGCTGAAGAATCAAAGTTGTTATCCGAGAGCACCTATGGGCATTACAGTCCCATGTGATGATCAAGAGCAACATGGTGATTCGGATGAAGATATCGACGGGAATAAGAATGAGATTCAAAGTCTTGCGGATTTTGATACAGATGGCGACATCCATTCTGGAGTCTCTATCACGGATGACAAAGGAGGTCCTCAAACCACATTCCTCGGAATAGACCATGGTTCTAACTGTAGTCCATCTAGTGTGAATGATATGCGAAAGGGTGACAAATATCGTAGCCTTGAGAGTGCAAGAGTTGTTAAATCTACATTTAGAATATCCAATCTTTTCAAGTTTAGCGCCAAACCCCTGACGAGGACAACCAAAATTTGTCATGTGGCACTCCTTGTCGCTATATTTTTTCTGGCAGCAACTTACGTGACTGTTAACATTTTCCTCGCCTCGGCTGGGACTCATGTAGGACTCTCTTCCATGCAAGCAGCCACACTTCTCTCCGTCTTCGGGGGTTCTCAGGCTGTTGGTCGTTTTTCCAATGGGTTTCTTGTGACGAAGGGTTACGTGAAAGCCGTGCATCTCTACATAGGCGCGCAGATACTGATGGCATCAGCCTTTTTGGTCCTCGGACTTCTGATGAGGGTTTACGTGGTCGCCATCTTGGCATCATTAGCGTTCGGAGTGTCCGCTGGGGCTATCCTCTCACTCAACATCGTCATGCAGAGGGTGATCGATGACAGTGCGACGTCGATCTCGTTAGGATGGCTACTATTCGTCGATGTTTTCGGTGGTCTCTTCGGCAGCTTAGCATTAGGTAAATCCTTTCTCCGATTGACAGTACTTTCGAGTCTTATTCTCGTAGATTTTTTGATAAAGTTGTAGTGATCAACGTTGTTTACACATGTATTTTAACCCTCGCGTAGATCTTTATAGTTTTCTAAAGATGGATTTGGTAACACTATGATGAGAAGCAATAGCGTAGCATGGGTTTAGCCATTCAGTGGCTCTGGTGTCACGGTATAGTGACATTCGGTCTTAAGACTTGTACAAAAATCGTGAGAACCGTTGAGGCCATCGGTGATAGGGGAGGGTGTTCGAGTTGGTTATTGTCATCTTTTTACAGTGCTATCCCCATCTTATTTGCTTTCCCTCCACCCCTCCCCCCTCTCTCTCTCGCTCTCCCTCTCTTTCTCTCCCTCTTTCCTTCTCTCTTTCTCTTGCCATTCGCTTTAAGGAACATGTACCTCCGTCTCTACTCTTGCTACACCACTGAATAGAAGCTATTGAAATACAAAAAAAGTTGAGAATCTTCTAAATAAAACAAAACACAATTCTCGTGATTCTTACAGACTGCGCGTAATCCAAGTATTGTTGATTCGTCCTGTAATTCCTTTAAAAACTTTTGTTTCTCTGTAGGTTTCCTGAAAGACTTGACTGGTAGCTTTGTGCTTATGTTCGTTCTGGCTGCAGTTTTCACATCACTGTCTGTTGCCCTCAGCGTTATCATCCTTATACTCAAGAAGCGGGAAACGATGTCCTTGAAAAGGAACATAAAATCCAACGAAGCAATCTAGACTTCCTGGCTGATTCCGCCTTTAAAGAAAATGAACCTAACTATTTTGCAGCGTATTACGCCTATCAGATGACACAACCTATTAACAATGTTAGAACAATTAAAAGTGGAACTTAAGCTTAACCCCGGGCTAACACTACCCCCCCCCCCTTAGCCCCACCTATAGTCCGGGGCTAAGCAAAATTTTACCAGTGTGAAAACGGTGTACCAACTCTAGAAGTAAGACTAATGTAGCACAGACTCATGATGTACTATAAAATTATCAACAATTATTTAGTAAATCTCTGTAAAAGAATTACGCCAGCAAATAGAATATGCAGAAATTACCATTAAATAAGAAGATGTTTCTACCTTTTGCAAAAGGTTGACTACAAGAACTCATTTTATGTAACAATATGCTCCCTTGCGATGTAATAAATAACCCAACTCTCTCAGCTTACAAAACCTCACTAAAGATCTATCTTCATAATTTTATAAGGATTTATATACCTCTCTTTAGAAATCTAGCCATCTGATTTGTCGAAAGTGCAGTCGTGATTTTGGATATTCCCGCAAAGAGACGAACACATAGTCAATAGTTCATGAGTGATATCCGTTGCCCCGGGTATCAGGCCGCAATGTGCTCAGATCCCCATTGGTTTACGTGTTAACATTTACTTTGTGCGAGCGTGGACACCATACAGTGCTTTTTGTCTGCGATTCCCAAATGATTGAAACTTTCAGTCATTTTTCTATCAAAGATAACTGAACAGACAGTTTTTTTTTATAGATTTTCCGTGATGTTTAACCAATCTTTACTCAATAAAAGGATAAGGTAAGAATTCTTGGTAGATTTTTGTTTCGATTTGGCATATAATGACCGGGGTAATAATATATCTGTAAAGCGCTTAGGCACATCGTTGGATCGGTGTATTGAGCGCTATATAAAAAAACGGATTATTACTATTATTATTAGTAAAAGAGATATCGACTGCTTTTATATTCGAGGCCTGGCTGTTTTATATGCTCTCGGGAACTTGCACATCTTGCACCCAGATGCGCGCATGTTCCCATGAGCATATAAAACAGCCAGGCCTCTCAAAACAGTCGATATTTGTATTCATATAAGTTATTACATAATTCCTTTTCTTTATTAAATAATACTATTATTCTTTCTCTCATATTTTATGTACAGTTTATATAGTCAATTATCCATTTATCTACTACCTGGGCCCTGTTGTATAAAACTTACCATTGATAGTAACTTTGTCATCAATGGCAACTACCATGGTAACAGGGCTCAACAGCCAATCAAAATCAAGGTTTCCATGGTACTTACCATTGATGGCAAAGTTACTATCAATGGTAAGTTTTGTGCAACGGGGCCCTCATAATAATACCTTTATGGTTATGCAATGTAATACTCTGTTGTCAACATTTCAAAGTTTACATGCTACAAATTTGATTGTGTGTTTTTATTCTTATTTACCTCCTCAATTGTTTTACCGATATATTACTTTGTTTCCTATATTGTTTTAATGATCATGTATCTTGTTATATTTGTTTACTGACATCATTTTTACCGGGGATACATCCTTGTACGGGGGGGGGGGGGGGGGGGGGTCAAGCCTTTGGCTGCATCCCAGGACGTGACTGTTTGGTTATCACTGAATGTCTGAATAAATAGAATATAATACCATAGTGACAGTGCCCCCCTCAAGGGCTGGACTCAAGTTACATAATGCATGGCCTTACAGAGGATTTTTTTTATGTTGGGGACCAGGGTAAAATGCAATGAATTATTGATAATTTATTGCATTTTCCGTTGTTTTTTTCATTTGTGGGAACTGCTCTCTACCCTAGCCCCTAGTCTGTAAGCACAAACCCTGGTCAGTCGTAAAAGTGAGTCTGCACTATAAGACTACCATAGACCATGTACTGTAGCTGCTCCTGACATATATTGACACAACCAGTAGGTAGCTGGGCTAGACTTCTCTCAAGGCACAATGATTTTTTGATTAAGTGTCAAATTAGGGTCTGTGCCTGCAGACTACCTAGCCCCCGCTGCGTACAGTCATGGTTCAGTAGCAAAGCAATGGCCTCGTAACTGTGAGGCCCCAGGATCAAAACCGTGTCGATGTGCTATATTAGTGCCCTTTTGTGGGGCAGTAATCCTCATTTCTGTCATTTATGACTTAAGGGTGTAGGTCCCCTAGTTGATAAGCTTATTAGCATACACATGCTTTAGCAGTCACGCAAAACAAACACTGGCAAATTATTATTCAGTAATATCTGAGAATGTATACTATTATCTAGATCTATTAGGAATAAATCATTGTCAAAATAATTCCATAAATTTGGGTAAAAAAAAAATATTCCAACTTTATGAGCAACAGTGTATTATTATTATTATCAACATAAAAGTCGTATTTTGATATGCGCTCCAAACGCAAGCACTCGCACACACTTGTACATTATTATTATACATAAATGAGAACATAAATAACACGTTTTACAAAAGACAAACCTTGACCTAATATACACATTTAAAATTAACATCTCTCTCTCTCTCTCTCTCTCTCTCTCTCTCTCTCACTCTATAACATTCTCTTCTGCTGAACAGTATTGTGAACATGCATGGAGAGACTTGCATATTTCAAAAGACACGCTTGATTGGTACATGAAAGATACTTTGTGAACGAATGCACGGTCGAATGATTTAATTTAATATCAAATTGAAAGAGATTTCATATTTATTTCCTCCTATCGTTGCAATACGTTCCAGGGTCCCTTTCAACTGAGAAACTACCGGGACTCATTGGGACTTTTTTCTTCCTCACAATTAAGGCTGCTAGCCTTTCATGCTAGCGTACGTGGCTCTGTGTAAAGTGTTTCATTCCCTTGATAGAACCAGGGAGTTCCACTGATCCCAACTCCCTGATATAATCATCGTTGTTTCATTCATTGTTAGTGGATTCAGGGGCGGGTCCACGTAGCGATTATTCTGGCCCGGCCCCCCCCCCTAGCCCCCCAAAACGAAAAAAAATAGGATAATAACGTCAAGTTAACCTTTATAAAACAAAAAACAAAAGCGCCCCCCGCTTATTCGCCGGCCGGCTGAGCCGGCACTAAATGTTGTATTAAGATTTGGCTACCCCCCCCCCTTGACGCCGTCTGGATCCTCTGCAGGCGCGGATCTACGGGGGGGGGGGGGATGGGCTGACGGGTCAACAACAAAAAAATTCTCACGAATTAGGTGAAAAAAAAACAAAAATAGTGGTCTCACCCCCTCCCCCCCCCCCCGCATATTCACCGGCTGACTGAGTCGGCGCAAAATATTTCCTGAAAAATTGGACCCCCCCAAAAAAGTGCCTCCTAACTCCTACGTTTTGTACGATGGGGATGAGAGAGCGAGAGAGTTGAACATTGATTCAAATGCAAGGTCTTCATCAGGTAATACATATTAAAGATCATGATTTTTGACATTCTTTCATTTTTTGAAAGCAAAAAATGCGCGTTGCATCCACCCGTATCTTATTCCTTAGTATTTTTGCAAGAATGTTGTAAAGACTGCCATGCAGTGAATCTTAACTGTACTACTACTACTACTACTACTACTACTACGTCTACTACTAACTGACTGTAGACCAAATGGCAATAAACCAGAGTCTGCATCCACAGACTAGTCAGAGTGAATCTATAGGTATTGATTAATTATTTAAGTATTGTCAGTGCCTGGGTTTTTGGAAGCATTGACAAAGTTTTATCGTGTCTTTGTTATTACATGATATCTAAATATCTTATCAATTCCACCAGAAAACATAATATCCTGGTGATAATCTAAATGTTACGACATGCTCAAATTGGGTCTTTATGTTTCCTGGAGAATTGTGTTCATTGTTGATTTGCAATTCAGTCCAACGACATGGAGGAAGCAAATATTCGTTCCATGCAAGCACGGACTAATGATAATAATACATACTTATCAAAGGGAAATCAGTTTGTCGATCTACGAATTACAGCATTATGAAAGTAGAGCGGTTCCAACTGCATTGTACGACTTCAATGTGCTCGATCTGCTCAGAGCCGGGCTCAGGTTGACATGGTTCAACAGACATTGTTTTAACGGTGTTTGTTCGTTGAGTTTAGACATGATGAAGGCACAGGCAACAATATTTCATTATTCTAAAGCCATTTACTGGTTTGTTTCGGTTGTTATTGTAAGTTACGCCATATTGCATTCTGTCGTGCATTCAGGGGCGTCGCTAGACCTTTTTCAGTGAGGGGGGGGGGGGGAGGGGGGGGGGGAGGAGTGTAGAGGCCAACGATTACCGACAAAACTAGCCACCAATTACCGACAAAATTAAATGTCCAATATCTACAAATTCAACCCTATAAACCTGGGGCCGAAGGCTAAAATGTTTTGGGTAGTGACCAAGAGAATCACTGAAAAGTGCGTTCATCAGGGGGGGGGGGGGGGGTGTGATGGGCCTCCAGCGCGAGGCGCGGAAGCTTAGACGTTTCCTTAAATTATTAGGAAAAGAAGACGATTAATTGTACCGTTTTCGACTGTTAATCCTCGGCTGAATGAAGTTCCCCCCTCCCGTGCAAAGCGCGAAAGCTATGACGTTTCAATAAATTATTATCAAAAAGAAGACGATTTGCTGTACCGTTCTCGACTGTTTATCCTTGTATGAATTCATTTTTTCCTCCCTCCCTCGCAAAGCGCGGAAGCTTTGACGTTTCCTTAAATTATTAAAGACAGAAGACGATTCGTTGTACCGTTTTCGACTTTAAATAAGCTCTATTAATAATGTCTGAATTCAGTTATTCCCTCTCGCGCGAAGCGCGGAAGCTCTGACGTTTCCTTAAATTATTAGAGAAAGAAGATGATTCGTTGTACCGTTCTCGACTCGTCTAAATGAAGTTTTCCCTTTCCGCGCGAAGCGCGGAATTTTTGGCGTTTCATTACAATATAGAGATAGGAAGACGATTCATCGTACCGTTTTCGACTCTTATTAAAGGTAATACAAAGTTTTGGGAAATTAGAAAATTGGATGAATAGTGATTCTTTACAATTTTAATATATTTGCATGCCCCTGTGGATGTATTATAAGCACTAGAAAATTTAGCCCCTAAAACACTTCTGTGTTCGAGAATAATTGAATATAAAAATTTACCGGTGCTCCCGGTAAATTTTGATGAATTTTGATGAATTTCAAATAGCGCCTACGGCAGTAAAATGGTAGCTGCGACCATGAAATTCTTAGACTAGTTTGACTTTTTAGTCACGAAACATTGTTTTATAGTTTAATTAATATCTTGACCTTTAGAGGGAGCTAAACAACATAAATAGTTTAAAATTAAAAATTTCATAACTTTAGACTCCATTTTAACCGAGACAAAGATCACTGAATATTATAGGATCGCATATGCTTCCAATATATGCTCATTTAAACCAAATTCATGACCCTTTACCAAAAATTTGTAATACCTTTAAGCCCTATATTCATCTGAATTCAGTTTCCCCCCTCTCGCGCGAAGCGCGAAAGCTTTGACGTTTGCTCAAATTATTAGAAAAAGAACACGATTCTTTGTACCGTTTTCGACTTTAAATAAGCCCTATTAATTTTGTCTGAATTCAGTTTCCCCCTCTCGCGCGAAGCGCAGAAGCTTTGACGTTTCCTTAAATTATTAGAGAAAGAAGACGATTCGTTGTACCGTTCTCGACTCGTCTAAATGAAGTTTTCCTCTTACGCGCAAAGCGCGGAATTTTTGGCGTTTCATCACAATATAAAGAAAGGATGACGATTCGTCGTACCGTTTTTGACTCTTAAACCTTGTTTGAATTTAGTTTCCCCGAAAATTTGAAACGTCTGATTTCTTTAGCTGATATTATAGGAAAGTGAAACTTCGAGAAAATACAAGTATTGTAGTTGTAGTCACTCTCGAAGTCGTCACAACGGATAAGAAGTCACAGTTCGTAGGGAAAAAAACTTGTCGGCCGACCGACAATATACATCTCACCGACTTCAAACTTCTGCATTGATATAGTACACGAGGATCGAGCAAGAATACCGACACAGCTGACCCGACACAGCAACATATTTACCCGTGTCTTTCTTGCTCAATCGACGAGACGACTCCACCCAACAACCTCCTTCTCTCTTTTACTCCCACTCCTCCTCTATCAGACTCTTACCTCCCCTCTCTCTCCTCTCTCTCCTCTCTTTCACCCCCGTTTCTTTTGTTTCCCTTTCATTCTTTTTTCTTTTCTTTCCCTTTCATTCTTTTTTCTTTTCTTTCTTTTCTTTCTTTTCCTTTCTTCCCCCTCCTCCCTCTTTTTCATTTTTCTCTTTCTTTCTTCTCTTTTCTTTCCTTTCTTTTCCTTTCTTTCCTTTTTTTTTTTTTCCTTTTCTTTTCTTTTCTCTTTCCCTCTCTTTTTTTCCCTCTTTTTTTTCCCTCTCTTTTTTCCCTCTCTTTTTTTTTCCTCTCTTGTTTTCCCTCTCTTTTTTCCCTCTCTTTTTCCCCTCCCCCTTTTCTCTTTTTCCCGACGGCAGCGCAATTTTACCGACAATATCCTGACAAGTGTGGGGGGGGGGGGGGGTGTCGCACCCCCACACCCCCTCCCTTTGGCGACGCCCCTACGTGCATTGTTTTATTGTTCATGCTGTTGGACACGACCTCCAAACGCGATGCCAATGAAAGAGGCACTATCTGGAAGAAGGGGGTACTTACAAGGGGAAACCTTAAAGCGAAAATATGCAATTTTTAGACTACAATGTGATTACATTATCAGGGATGGTTTTACTATTTGTGTCTCCCTTTAAATGGTCCAAGGTACTCCTTAAAGCTAAAGTTGAGTTCTGGTCATGCGATTGCATTGTGAAAGAAACGGTGTGGAATCGATCAGAAAAGGTTGATCATCTAGCATAATGTAGGTATTGATGTGTACTGCAAGGTTGTGGAATAATCAAAATGATAAGAAATTTGGCCCAGTCTTGGTTAAGTTACAAGCATGTACTGTACACAGAAAGATGTACATGGGACTAGACGAACATGTGGCATAAAAATCTGTCCCGATTTTTACGCTATTACATGACATAAAGAGGAAAAATTAATCGTGATGAGCTGCAATCTCGCCGCGAAAGACTGAAAAGGTCCTTAGTAAGTTACATGACTATATCAATTATTCTAGGGGGGGGGGGGGGGAGGGGGGGGGGGGGGGTTAAATAAAAAGTTGCTCTTAGTCGCTTTGAATAAGGGGCAGGTGTAATAGAGAAAGAAAAAGAGGGTCTTTATCAAACGGGAAAAGGACGCTTATTAGGAAAAAGGAGTACGTGTCCAAGTAAAAAGGACATTATCAGAAGGAAAAAAAGAAGGTACTTATTGGAAATAAAAATGGGGGGACGGGGGGGGGGGGGGTTGTGTGCCAATTTTCAAATTTTCGTTGCCAAAAAAAAAAAAATGTGGTCACTACCCCCCATTTTTGCCCCCAAAAACGCCCCCCCCCTCCAAAAAAATAAAAATAAAACAGTAAAGGAGTAAACATGGTTTGTATTTTTAATCCAAAAGAACGTAACAATAATAAAAACCTGAATTAAATCACACATACAATTCCATTCAAAGAAAAAGGAAGTTCACAGGAATTAAATTTCATCAACATTGCGCATGCCACCTATAAGGTATTTTAAAAGGAGGTCTCTATAATAGCGATACGCGCATATCGTGGACATATTGTGCGAGAATGGGAAAGCGTGTCCGTTTTTTTTGTTTTAGGGGTAAGAAGACATGAGCCCCTGAACGCTGGCGTACTGATGGGGGGGGGGGGGGTAAGGTATTTCTTATTCGAAACGAGTGATTTACAAATGTTGATGTTGTGACGTGATTTTCCGGCATTTTTTCTCCATTTTTTTTGTAAGTCATACTTTTTTATGCGTTTGTTGGAAAATACAGTCAGGCGAAATACGCTTATTTAGAAGCCTTTATGTCATGGTCTGCAAAGTGGCTGGGCTCAAGCCCCTCCCCCCTCCTTTTAAAAAAATGTATGTTAAAGAGAAAAAAGAAAGAAAGACGGAGAAAAAATAAGTGACCTGCCAATGTCACAAATAAGGTATAAAAAATACTCATCTGACCGTAATTAAATGCTTAAAACCCCAGAGCTTACGGGGGCTCTGCCCCCTGGACCCCAACAAGGGCTCAAAGGCGGGCCCCTGGATGCTCATCTGACCGTAATTAAATACCTAAAACCCTGAGCTTCCGGAAGCTCTGCCCCCTGGAACCCCACCAAGGGCCCTAATGCGGGCCTCTAGATGCTCATCTGACCGTTATTAAATACCTCAAACCCCTGAGCTTCCGGGGCTGTGCCCCCTGGACCCCACCGAGGGCCCTAAGGCGGCCCCTGGATGCTTATCTGACCTTAATTTAATACCTAAAACCCCTGAGCTTCCGGGGGCTCTGCCCCCTGGACCCCACCGAGGGCCCTAAGGCGGGCCCCTGGATGCTCATCTGACCGTAATTAAATACCTAAAATCCCTGAGCTTCCGGGGGCTCTGCCCCCAGGACCCCACCAAGGGCCCTAAGGCGGGCCCCTGAATGCTCATCTGACCGTAATTTAATACCTAAAACCCCTGAGCTTCCGGAAGCTCTGCCCCCTGGAACCCCACCAAGGGCCCTGGATGCTCATCTGACCGTAATTAAATACCTAAAACCCCTGAGCTTCCGGGGGCTCTGCCCCTGGATGCTCATTCTGACCGTAATTAAATACCTAAAACCCCTGAGCTTCCGGGGGCTCTGCCCCCTAGACCACACCAAGGGCCCTAAGACGGCCCCTGGATGCTCATCTGACCGTAGTTCAATATTAAAACATCTGAGCTTCTGGGGGCTCTCCCCCCCCTTGGAACACGCAATTGCCTTACAGAGGGCCCCTGGATGCTCATCTAACCGTAAATAAATACCTAAAACACCTGCATGTAACGTGTAAGACTGGTGGTGATGCAGATTTTTCGTCTGCCCCTCCCCCCCCTTTCCGAACTTTTTTTCTCATTACGTCACTGCCCCTGGAAAGTGAGCCCCCTGGAATGTTTGCCCCCCCCCCATCCCAAACTGCTTCCGGCGCGCCTGACTATGATGTAACATGATGTTGTGACTAGGCTGTGCGAACGTGAATTTTAACGAAGAAGACAGTGACACGATTGATTAGCAGCATATGCATGTGCGGATATTTCGGTTACATGTAGTAGAAAATGGACATTCAGAAGGTTTGTTATGGGATTCATGATATCGAAGAAGAAAAAAAAGTGGTAATTAAAGAAAACAACATTTAATTAGAAGTTGAAAGGCACATCGAGGGAAAATAACCGAATAGCCAGTTGTCCCAGAAGACTAGAAAGAGAGAAAAAGAGAGAAAAAATGAGGAGAGCAAGAGAACAAAATCTAAAGGGAGAAAGAAAGGAAAAAGAGGAGGTGGTGGGGTGAGAGGCTGGCGCTCGTAGCGGTATATGGACGGATTGAAATACCAATACCCTCCCTCGCCCCGTCCAGTCTCACGCATAACGGTCAGACACTTTATTCTTGAAGATCATTACTCCATATCTCCAACTCTGATTTGTACTACACTGTATTCAAAAGGTATATACTAATTGTTATCCAAATATTTCCCATTTCACTGATTTCTGGATTTTCTTTAAATCTGTCGTACAGCATCTGGATGTCACCATGCCTGTGTCCCTCGGTGAGTGGCGTGTCAGGATTGGCACGTTTATACGTCGGCGGAAGAAAGAATATGACTACAACTACTTTTGGAGGAAACTTTTCAATTTGATCAAAACAGCCAAGAATGTTCAGTCTCCCGAAGAAAACAACTCGGAATGTAACACTTCGCCTCGCACTCCTCAGACTCGGTCACAATGTGACGGCCCTAAGTGTGATGCTGTCAATGACAGTGGATCCTCAGAAAATGTAAAGAGCCCCAGACCTAACGAGGTCTCCCCCTCCGAGTCTTCGTGGGCTGAAAACAGTGGTTCTCCAACGGCAAATGAGACCAACCCTGTCCGTGATACCGCTGACGTCCAGAACCCAGATCCCCGACCATGCACGGAAGACACCGTGGAGGATGGACACGTAGCCATTAATATCATGTCGCCTGAATACCCCCTTAAATCCGCTCAAATAAGTAAAACAGACCAACCTGAAGTTGGTAAATCAGAGTCGTACTCACATGTACCTGCAGCCGTTCCTGGTGAGCCAGAACGTATCAAACTACACAAGGAGGAGACATCATTCTCTGCGCGGTCAGAGGACCAATCGTTGGGCTTATCACCTATACCCAGGCAAGAAACAACGAGAAACACCAAGCGACCAACACAGTCTATCAAGGTATGATTGATATTTTGATGTATTTCTTAGAACCACCCCTTACACATAACGCAGCAAATAAACGGACAAAACAGACAAACAGACAGATAACAGTGCGTCTTAATAAAAAAATTAAATTGGTTATTTTGAACAAGCTTTGAGTTGTATAAGTATACTTCCTTGCTATTCATAAATTATAAAGTAATATGTTTCAAATAATACACCGATCCCATTATTCTATACAGGCATACGGGGGAACAATGTTTTGAAAATAGCAACAAATATTAATTTTTGCCGGATTTTTGTAAACCGTGGGAACGTTAATATCGCATGCGAACATTACTTAACTTAAATGTAATTGTGAAAAGATGATTATCCTACGTTTCCATTGCGGGGTAATGTGCAAGAAATAGCCAAGGCAGAGCCGTAGAACCTTACACATTTCCCCCAAAATAATAGATAGCCCTGAAAGCAAATCTTGAGCTCCACTCTCCACCCAGGTGTTAAATGGGCCCAAGTAATACAGACATTTTGATTAAAGTTGATCAACAAACATTTTATGACCATAAATTGCCAGTTTTGTTGTCAATACGTTTTCCTTACCAGTTCTCTGATTTAGCTTCAATGCAGTTTGCTCAGCATTTTGAACATCTGTAATTATTATTGAGTTATGGTACGGGAATCGTATTGTAAGAGAAAATTGCTATGATTTATTCTGGATTTGTTATCCTGCTGTAGATTGGTTGTTTGAACCATGTGGAAAAAACCCGCACACACACTTAAAATACTAGACATTATATTTGATAAAAACCACGACTCCCATTACAGTGACCTGTGTTAAGCTCTTGGTGTCGGGCCTACTTACCCGGATTTCCTCATCTTTCTATGCTCATTACTCAGCCCCTATAACATTTTCTACCGAAATTGTTTGGCACATGTCAAATATTTTGGATCTTGAACATTCAGTGTAAATTTCGTTGGATTCCGTGAAATAGTTTATTTTCTACATTTTCCAGACCTCAAGTTAGTCTTTAAGCAATGAAAAGTTCCCCTTTTGTGATTGAAAACGGTGTCCGTCCTGAGACATATGACATATTGTGATCCATTTAGGTACTAAATATACCCTTCTTACCCTCACCATCGTCATTATGTCCACCATCCTTTATTTTGTAATGATTACATAACTATTGCCCTCATTATCAATAGAAGCATGTTAAATCAATCCTCGTATTAGATTTCGAAGTTATTAAAAATTCTTTTAGGTCATAGTCGGTCATGTTGGCGTAGGATCCTACAACGTTTACACGGTTTTTAGCAAATTTTGCCTTTCTTGGATTTTGAATTTCAATTTTTAAAACGCTCTTGCTCAGTGAAGCGTGTATTTGTAACATGGGCCCTTGAACAGGGACATGAAATTAGAGGAAAAAACATGAGCTATTTGAAATGAGAACAGGTTCTAGAGAATGATCTGATCATTTAAATTTCTGTGGAAATTATAGCTTTGAAATTCATTACATTGCAATCAATAGTAAAAATGCCTATTACCTTTATTCATTCATTCATGATTTTACTTGTTTTTTGACAAATAATTTCTGATCATCGTTTTCAAAAGGGTCTTATGTCTATACTTGTCCTCCAGAAAGAAGTGGAATATCATGGATCACCCACCTATTCGGTCCTCGGATCAGGGACAACCAGCGGTGAAGCAGATGCAATCAAAGGGAATGACTGTCCAGACATGACGACAACACTCCTATTGAGATCCGGCGACGTAGAACGGAACCCTGGTCCGAACGATAAGTAAGCAGCATTACAGAGCAACATATACGAATTAAAATCCATATTCAACTAAACCCGACTCTGGATCTAACATTACGTTTACTGAAAGATAATTCGATAATTTCCTCTATTAATCCCGGTTCTAAACAAAGCTTAAGCCCAGCGTCGGGTTTAAATGTACGTGGAATAACAGCCATTGACTTTGCTGGTAAATATTAGTCAGTGGAATTGATGAATAAAATCAAAATGTGTTGATGTTTTGTGCATATTTCTCAATATGTTTGACAAATACACATACTTTATCATATTTTCCAGTGTTATATGAAGTTAATAATTCTTCTTTGCCTATAATTATTAAGCCCTGGAAGTCTGACCGAGCTCGAACTCTATCTCCTTGCTGATAGTATGGATCCTTCAGATTTCAGGAAGGTCGGACTAACTTTAGGATTCACTGAGGCTCAACTAAGTCGGTTTGAGAAAGACAAGCTGGGCAACTCCATGCAAGCTACCTATCAGATGCTTTACGAATGGCGGAAGACAGTACAAGAAAGCAAGGCGAGAGAGATACTAGTCGCCAAGTTAGAAAGCATTAAGCTGGTCCAACTTGCTGATAGTGTACGGAAAGGTACAATATTTCACACATCATACCTACCCATCCCCATCAAACACACATACGGCCTAAAATATATTTGCAGTATCCAACAAAATTGAGCACACCCCAACAACAATAACGTTGATTATTCAACTCTAGCTTGACAAAGTTCTAATTTAAAAAGGCGAGCCATTTTTTCTTTAAAAAAGTAGATTAGTATAACGTGTTAAATTTATATAAAAATTAAGTATTCCATTTAAACAGAGCAACAAATGAAGAAGTAGCCTTTAATCACGGCAGCTATGGTGCTCTGGCAAGTCGATCCCGAAATGCGCGGATTAGACTGATTGCACGGAGGTCGACACATGCGTGCATATTTTCCAAAATATGGAAGGTTTTATTTATTTCGGAATCACGATCTCTCGCTTCCATTACCTGATGCAAGCCGAGGATGGCGTTATCCATGAATCTGTATGTATCGATGGTTCGCCGGGCGTAGAAATTCGGGGATCCGGACATCTTCGGCCGGTGCAGTTACATTTAAAGTAGCCCTTCAACCAAAATAAAAGTATATATCAATGGAAAGCTTTTGACCTCGGGAATTAAAATGATATATATTTCAATTTTTTAAACACTTAATTATAAAGTCGTAACAACAAGTTTGTTTTTTTCATCATTCATTTCCTCTCCCAAAAGTCAATCCTTTACTCAATGTGAGAGACCCTATCAAGGAAATAAATGTTTTTTCCGCCCCTGACCCGCACGAAAATATAATTAAGATTTAGGAAGCGATGTGCATTGATATTGTTGTTGCTGCTGCTGTTACCATTGTTGTTGTTTGATACTAAAATACAGGTCATATTTTGCTATTAATTTTAGAGAATTTTTTTTCTCACTACCTCATCACAGGTCAAGTTGGTGATCACATACCGTCCATGACAGAGGAGGAAATCCAACGGGTTGCTGAAGAGGTCAAACAATACTTGGCAATTAATCTATGTCAGATTCAGGCCGATCCACTGAACAGCGAACTTGTACTTGAATTTAAACGTATCTTCACCAATCTAACGTTGATGGAAGAAGACAAAGGTACAAAACTCAAGACACCGCTCCTATACGACAACCTCCTCAGGACCAAAGTCAATGGAATCTATCCCAAACGATTGTTGGTTGAAGGTGAAGGTGGTGTAGGGAAGACCACTCTTTGCGCCAAGATCGCTTGGGATTGGATCCACGGAAAAGGCTACCAAGATTTCAAACTTGTTCTTGTCATCCTCTTTCGCAAGGCAGAGGACAAGACTGTTGGAGAGATCATCAAGTCGTATCTTTCTGACAACAATCCGGTCACAGCAAAGCAGCTAGACAAGTACATCCTCTCAAATCCAGATGACGTCTTTCTTGTCCTGGACGGCCTGGATGAGTTTGCTGTTGATCTCAACAGCAATCAGCAAATAGCCTTGATCACTCTTAATAAGCTGTTCAAGTCAGGGAAAGTACTAATCACATCGCGACAATGGAGATCAGATGAGATTAGGAAAAATGCCGATCTAAGAAAGGTGTTTGCTTTCATTGCTGTAGAAGGTTTTTCTGATGAAAACCTTTCATGTTACATCACCAAGTTCTTTCATCCAGACACAGCTTCCTCTGAAGATCTGAACCGATTCATATCAAACAACGATGTGATCAGAGAGAACATGGCCCCCTACCCCATCTACACAGCCATGCTGTGCATCATGTGGAAAGAATTTGATGGCGATCGCCGAGAGGCAATGTCGAAGCTGCAAACATTTTCTCAGCTCTTTAATGAGATGATTGACTTTTTGGTTGATCATTACCTATCGAAGCACATTCCATCAGGTATTGTTGAAGGCAAATTGAGTGAGAATCGTTCAAATATTCGTCATCACCTGCTTCAGATTGGTCACATCGCCTTCCAGGGACTTCTTGAGAGACGGTTAGTATTCACAGAAGATGAATTTCAGAGTTATCCAGAGTCCATCGATGTAGGTTGTAAAGTTGATGTACTCACCGCAGAGCAGAAAATTCTTCCGAGGCGAGACAGAAGAAATAATCCGAATTCAGTAGTTAGATCGGTGCGGTTTCCCCATAAGCTCTTCCAGGAATATCTATCTGGAATGTATCTCGCATCTCTTTACAACTCAAACCGTAATGAGTATGACAGGTTGATAGCGAATATCATAACGAAAACGGGGGAATACCGGTACCTACTGTACTTCACCTCGGCCCAGCAGAAGGAGGTCGGCTTGGATATCGTATCTCATCTCATAACAGAGCGTAGACATCGCTGTCTTGATGATGACTTCATCGTAGATGTAGCATACGAGAGCCAATACCAAGCAGTGGCCAAATCTGTGGCAGATCATCTCTGCGGCAAAGAACTGGAGATCACCAATAAGATGCAGGCACACACAGTATCAGGACATACTTTCATCATGAATCTTCGTGAAGTGGTAAGGAAAGTAACGTAGAATTGTAGCAACGTATACATTTTATCTGTGTATGATCTATTGGAGTGATAAGTTTCTATTTGATTTAAGTTTCGATCTCTCAGACTTAGAATGACGTCGTTTAATTTGAACACTTAACTGTTTACATATGCCGCGTATACGAACGATGCTTTCAACTCCGTCATGCGCTAATAAGCCCACGCATTCTGCATAAACTTCTTTTCAACCAAATGTTGAAAAGAAGCTTGATATCAATGGTCTTTAATTATGGAGCATGTTTAAAACCACTTCTCAATGGATCTAGCATGGATACAACTTTAATTACAATTTTTAATCTAAAAACTGCAATGTAGTACATGAATATTTTTTACAAGTTGTGATTTATTGTTATTGCAGTAAAAACCCGTCTTGCGTGTATTTGCAATGATGAAAAAAAGTTTATATTAAAGACTGTTGATATCACAAATCCCAATAAAATTTGGACGTACATACTGTTCAAACAAGTATGATAAAACGCTAACTTGAATTATTATGAGATAACGTACATATTTGGTGGATCAGAATAATTCTTTTGAAATGATTATTTGATGTTCATATTTACAAATAGATTATGTAAACAGAATAAGAAACAAACGGAAAATGAAGAAAAAAAACAACAAAACGGTATCAATTAAGGTAATTAATCAGGATAATCCGGTATTATTTTCTTGCGTTTATGCTTCTAGCTTTACAATGTTATTTGTGTACATGTACCTTGTAGGATAAACTGATTATCAAGAAGCCGTGTGGACGGACGGCTTCAGAGGACCTGGCTGAATTCATGTGCTCCTCACGATCACTGCGATATGTTGAGATCGATAGTGCTATGCATGATGTTTTCTACTCGGTGCTTGCGAACAAAGCAGTCGATTCCAAGGTGAGTGTAAATCTGTGTACTATCATCATTCTTTTAAAATAAATGAATGCCAAATTCAGTCAGATTAATAGCTTTCCTGGTTTTCAGTAGGCTGAATTGAATTAGGAGAAATACTGGAACACCCAGATTTGTGTTGAGACAAATAAATTTAAATTTCAAACGTCTTGAATTTATTTTTTTGTACAAAAAAAAGAAGAGAAATATTTCATTAAACTCTTTATATAATACTTATGTTTGCTGTTATGCTTCGTGATTTAGGCTAGTGGGCTTAAATCATGTGGGTTTCCAAATAAATAATTTTCTTTATCTTTGACCGCTCAAATCGTAATTACCCTATGCTTCCCGAGTTGCATAGAAATCCAACTTTAATGAATGGAAAAGGAGGAATAAAACAAGATATCAATGTTCAGAATGATTTTTGTTTCTCCCCGATCGGCAAATAAAAGAGAGAGCCAGATTACCGAATCTTTATTAGACCAACCCGTGTTAATTCAAGGTCAGCAACAAATATTGATAATATTTATACGAACGTCTTTTGTAGCTCCATTATTTCCGGTATTTTTGTAACAGACATAACAGACCACTTTCCTATTTTCTATATTTCACACTTTTTAGACAGGGTAAATAACAGTAAATCAAAGTCATTCTCATTTAGAAAAGTCACTATTGAAAATTGTAATAGGCTGAGTGTTGATCTTGCAAATGCTGATTGGTCTGAAGTATACCAGGAGAATGATACTGAAAGGGCCTATGATGTATTTTATGAAAAGTTTATTGGCTATTATAATGAACATTTTCCTGTACAAACTAAACATATTAAAAAACGCAAACGAAATAGAAAACCGTGGGTATCTCTTGATATGTTAAAACTTATTAAAACGAAAAATAAATTGTATAAGAATTACTTGAAAAGATCGATTCAAGCAAACTATGATAAATACAAAAAGCTCCGTAATATGGTCACAACTCGTTTACGCAGAGCAAAAAGGGATTATTATTTAAAAAAGTTTGACTCTGTAAAAAATAACTCTAAAAAAACATGGACACTTATTAATGAAATTTTAGGAAAGCAAAAGAGTGCTGTGGAAGAAGGAAAATCTTTTTGCCACAATGGTTCTTACATTAGTAATCCGGATGACATTGCGGAAAACTTTAATGAATATTTTGTGAACATTGGATCAAATATTGCTAATTGTATTGCGGAGGATGAAAATGCAATTGATACATTTAATGTTTATATGGGCCAACCATCGCCACATATATTATTTTTTAAACCAGTTACAAAAGAAGAAATAATAGATATTGTAAAGTCAAATCTTAAATCTGGTAAAAGTTGTGGTTTTGATGAAATTGATTCAATAGTTGTGAAACATATACTACCTTTTATTGTTGAACCACTACTTTATATTTGTAATTCATCATTACGCACAGGTTGTGTTCCTTCTAAGATGAAGATATCTAAGGTTGTGCCAATTTTTAAAAAGGATGACCCGAGTCTTTTTACAAATTATCGACCAATTTCAATTTTACCTTGTTTTTCTAAAATTTTGGAAAAGTTAGTTTTTAATAGATTATATGACTATTTATTGCAGCATAACTTTTTATATGATAGTCAGTATGGCTTCCGACAAAATTACTCAACAGACATGGCAGTTATTGAAATTCATGATAGAATAGTTAAAGAACTTAATGAAGGTAAAAGTGTTATTGGCGTATTCATGGACCTATCCAAGGCCTTTGACTCCCTTTCACACGATATTTTATTACAAAAAATGCAGCATTATGGCATTAAAGGTCTTTCCTTAAAATGGTTTCAATCTTATTTATTACATCGACAACAATTTACAGTTTATAACTCACATAATTCGTCTTTCGGTAATATAAACACAGGTGTCCCTCAAGGGTCAATTCTTGGACCATTACTATTTTTAATTTATATTAATGATATTGTGAATTCTTGCCATGAATGTGACTGTATTTTGTATGCGGATGACACCTCACTCCTTGCCTCTCATAATGATATTGAAGCTTTAGTTGAATCTTTGAATACAAGTCTTGCCCACATATCAGCATGGTTTAAATGTAATAAGCTCTCTTTAAATACTAGTAAAACCCAATGTGTTCTGTTTAAAAAGGGTGGTGTGCAATTTAATGTCGATGATATATTGTTGAAAATAGATGCAGTTCCTTTGAAATTCTATGATTCTGTTAAGTTTTTAGGTGTAGTATTAAATAGTAGTTTGTCTTGGAAGGATCACATTGATTTAGTACGCTTGAAGATTTCACGATCCATAGGGATTTTAAGTCGATTGAAGTATGAATTGCCTAGTAACATATTATTTCTTCTTTATAATGCTTATGTTTTGTCACACTTGTCGTATTGTAACTCAATATGGGGTAACACATATTCGAGCCATTTACATAAACTAATAATGTTACAAAAGAAAGCCATACGAGTATGTACGAAGTCCGAGTATACTGCTTCTACTTCCACATTATTTAAATTATTATATACTCTCAAATTACAAGATATAAATAAGATCCAAATTGCTTCGTTTATGCAACGTTTTCACTCTCAAACACTCTCCCCATATTTAATGAATATGTTTGTAAAAAATAGAAATATCCATAATTATAATACAAGATCTTGCAATCATTTTCACCGTTGGACGTATTTAAATAATAAATCAAAATACTCATTACGTCACACAGGCCCAATCCTTTGGAATAGTCTAAATTTAAGTAACTTTAATATTCAATTTAATAACTCATTTAAAAGGCAATATAAAAAATATTTGATTGGAAATTATTGATTTTTTTGTTGTTGTTGTTTTTGTTGATTTTTTATTTTGTGTTTTGGTATATGATGATACAGTATTGTTGGTACTTGTTATTTTTTTGCAATATATATTCATACATTATTTAAATTGTAGGGTCGTACACTCTTACAAGCCTACCCTTGGCTTTTTACGTACGCCTCCTTTTCCATTCATTTTTACAATATTATTATGAAACTTATGTATTTATTTTTTGTACCATTTTTACTAAATGTTGTATATAATGCTATTGTGTTTTATATTTGATGTTGTTGTATTTTTATGAATTGGAATAAAGATTGAAATGAAATCAAACAGATCCACTGCTCTCTGATAATCCTGGATCATCCGACAATACATTACAATGTCGTTGTGAAGTATCACATTAATGATGGTTAATGTATGAATACACGAAAAGGTTTTCAGGCTCTCCCCGTAAATTTCACCTGTTTATCTTCAACGGCAACTGCTTCACTCATCTATAATAATAATATAATAATAATATTTAATTTTCATATAGCGCTTAATACAAATGTCTCTAAGCGCTTTACAAATATACTATTACCCCGGTCATTGGATTCAGTGCTTGCCCGCACACATTGTGTGCACAATCTCCACTCCCTGGGGAACATTCCAGCCAGGCGTTACTTGACGCTCAAACAATGACGGTCGCATCTATACCCACTTCTCAAACAGTCAACCGTTCATTTGATCTAGATCGAGATGTCTCATTTGAGGTTCTAGGACAATAATCCCCTGAACAATCACCCCCGGCCAATTACCAAAGGAAAAATTACCCCCAATGACAATGACCACCCCGGAAAACTACCATTTAGGACAACCACCCCATGGACAAGTACCTCCCTAGGACAATAACCACCCCGAGGACAATTACCCCCTGAAAATTACTCCCTTAGACAATAACCTTCCTTGAAAATCACCCCAAGAACGAATACACCCCAGAAAAAAGAAGGGGGGGGGGGTATTCGTCTTCGGGGCTAATTTTCAGGGGTGGACGGTAATTGTTCATGGGGGTTAATTGTCTTTGGGGGTAATTTTCAGGGGGTAATTGTTCTCGGGAGGCAATTGTCCTCGTGGGGGAAGGGGGAGGGGAGGTGTCCTTGGGGGTTATTTTTCGGGGTGTAAATTTCCTGGGGTTATTGTCCTTGCAGGGTAGTTTTCCGGAGGGTAATTGTCCTGATACGGAGAATTGGGTTTACATGAGTAAAGCAGTTGCTTCATGATCTAAAGGCCTAACGGTCATTACCGTTGAAGATAAACAGATGATATTTACGGAAGAGCCTGAAGACCCTGTTGTGTTATCGTACATTAAACACCATTCAACGTAATTCTGCACAACGACATTGTAATCATCATAGCAGGGGTGATCCAGGGTTGTCAGAGGTTGTCAGCGGGGGATCCTTTTCACGGGGATTAAGATTCGGTAATCACACTGACTCTCTCATATTTGCCGACGGGGAGAAGAGAAATAAGCGAACATTGATATATCGCTTGCTTCTATTCTATTCACTAAAGTTAGAGTTCTATTGAACTAGAGACAAATTGGGTCAAACGATTAGAGCGATCGTTCGTTCGTGTCTCCTTAGATCAGGATTAAATCTTGATCTTCGGAGTAGTTCCTACAAAGATGAAGATGACTTCAACTTAACATCTTCGTCGATGTCATATGCAAAAGTATAGATTGATCATATATTTTAGGACTTTAAGCAAATCATTTCGCGTTTTGTTATACTGGATTTATCAAAAATAACGTATATTTTTTTTAAAAAGAATGATGATGGGAACTGTAATAATGATGAGACTCTTGACATCAGGTATTCGGACCCCCTGACTCAGTCTGTCGTGCAAATGCGGGAGAGTTAACGAGATTAACGAATCATTTTTCGGGGAAAAGCCCTCCTTTCTTACAATCGTTGAGGCGCCACTATACCATGTCGTCGATTATATTATCAGGGTGTTCAGGTTCTTTCCCGAATAAAAGAACACGCTCTCCGTCAAGAGTAGTGTCATTCAGGAAGGGTTTGCGACCGTTCTGCCTTCTTTTTTAATTCTATTTTGGTCTGAAACACTTTAAATCACGAACCGACTGGATCATTCGTGAATAAAACTTCTGCTCCCACAATCAACAGGTCAGAATGATCTAGAAAAATTTCATTGTATCTCCCATCCGTTTATAATAACTGAATTCCAATTACTCTCATCATTAATTCCATGATGTCACATCGTACTTCTCACATACACGTATTCTACTACCCCCATTCCCATCTTCTTAGTCAAGTCAATATATCGATTCTTCACTTTAAATAAAACAATATATTTCCCCTTATATTTTTACGTGTTTTTCTTGAAGAGTAGCATGTTTAAGTACTAGTTTGCTACCGTCGTGCCTACCTGTTTTATTTTCTTTTGTTCTGTGAAACTTTAGATCTTGAGCAAACTCTTTCATTCATCTTTCCCCACTGCTTCTAGAAGCCAATATGTCAATAGGATCCAGAAGATATTCATGATGGCTCACTTTTATCCGTAATGTCGCATAATAATTTCTTAACGTATTCTACTTTCCGTGTGCTAGGCGTGTCACAGTCATTAGGGACTTTTAGATTTACACGTCGACAGCGTTGACTGCAACGTGCGACGTCATTTTAAGGCACTGCACATGCGTCACTTCGTCTCAGTCGGCGATCGCGAATGCGTCAACCTTGATTTTCCTAAATCTAGTACGGTACTAGTATGCTGCGTGCGCATAAAATATACAGTTCCTCAGGTAGACAAAGGAACATCCCTTCCCTGCTATTATATAAAAATATGTAAAACAGGTGTCAAATTCATATTCACCTGTTCTACTATGTTTACATAATAGCAGTGAAGGGGTGTTCTTTTGTCTACCATGCACAGCAATTGTTTAGGGTAGAATGAGGAACTGTATATGTTGTCCTCTTTCTTTGTCTTTAATGTTCATAGTGTTACTTCCTGCATGCATGTATATCGTCGAATGCAATCTAAAAGATTTCTAATTGTAGTCAACATGGGCAGTTGAGTACGTTGACACGCATGATCAGTCGGCGTTCGTCGTGTTCTCGTCCACTCAATCTAAAAGTCCCTAGTATTGGATCAGTCAAAACATATTGTTCCCCCGATTATTACGTAACAAAATTGTATAAATACCAATATATCAGTATCAAACAAAATACAAGAACTGTTTACATCAGTGCTAATTGCAGGTGTCACAATTGTACTTCATGATAAAATGCATTTGGATGGGTTATCATTTGCTTTTGTGGCAATGAAAAGGACTGTTGAATATTGAATATAGTTTTAGTTCCTTTGTAGTAATCATTCTTTCCTCACAATGTTAGTAACATTGTAATAATACTATCATAACAGATTGAGACTCTTTACATCAATTCGGCGGATCTCAGTGAACGCCCCTATGCATCATATGATCTCGCTCAGTTTATCTGTAAGATGCCTCATTTAAAGAACCTGTCACTCGGCGGTCAGTTTCACGATGACTTCTACTCAACATCATCGTCGATGGCAATATCTGCAAAGGTATTAATTTGATCACATATTTCAGGACTCTAAACAAATGCAAACATGACTTGTTATACTTGAAGTGTACACATTTCCATATAGTCAAAGGAAAGAGGACGATTTTATTATTCCAATAGGTACACCGTTAAGAGGAAGCAGGTAGGAAAAGTTAAACGTTTCAGGAAAGTGGATGCGAAAAGTGAACTCTCTATCACAATACAAAAACAGACTGCAGATTATCATATTGATAGCGAATAATATATATCATATTTGTCATTCCATATGACGATTAGGAGTGCTAAGGAATGGCTCATGAAAAGACGGCTATTTCAATTGTACATGCTGATGAGATTAAATATTTTAATTTCAAAACCTACACAAAAGAAATTCGAATCTCTTCGTCCCTATTTGAATTATTGCTGTATCTCTTGGACAACTGCGAAGTCTTCCATGCACATTTGTTTTCACAGTTCTATATTATGTAAAATAAGATTTCAAAGCTGCACTATTTCAATCAAATGTCAGCGTAACGTAAATACAATAGGATGATATCTGTTTCATGGTAGAATGTTTAAACTATTTAAAAGTAGTTAAATATCAGCCATTGTATATCCACAACAATGTTATTATTTTAAAAGATGACATGACATCTAGTAACTGGATTCCCCCAACCCCCTCATTTATTCCGGCCTGCAAATGCAGGTGGGTCAGTTAGATTACCGAATCATTCGACCTGGGGAAAACAACCCCCACTTTCCCTTTTTGACATTCGTGGTTCCACCACAATATATCGTCAATCATATAATCAGGATGTTCAGATTTTCTCCCCTAATAAATGACAGGTTATCTGACGAGTAATGTGATTGAGAACTGGTTTGCGACCGTTCTGCTTTCTTGTTTAATTATTTTTTGTGACAACGATATTAATGTAATATAAAAAGACTGTTAAATCTTTAATATAGTTTTTGTTAGTTTGTAGTAATCATTCTTTCATCGCAATGTTACTATCATAACAGATTGAGACTCTTCACGTCAATTCTGCGGATCTCAGTGGACGCCCCTATGCATCACATGATCTTGCTCAGTTCATATGTAAGATGCCTCTTTTGAAGAACCTGTCACTCGACGGTCAGTTTCACGATGACTTCTACTCAACATCATCGTCGATGGCATCATCAGCCAAGGTATTGATTTGATCATATATTTTAGGACTCTAAACAAATGCGTACTTGATTTGTGTTACTTGAAGTTTACTCCTTGCTATATTGTTAAACGAAAGTGGATGATTTTATTATCCAAATTGGTACACCGTTAAGAGGAAGCAGGTAGTAAAAGTTAAACGTTTCAGGAAAGTGGATGCGAAAAGTGAACTTTCTTTCACAATACAAAAACAGACTGAAGATTATCAGATTGATAGAGAATAATATAAACCATATTTTTCATTATGACAATTCGGAGTGCTAATGAAGGGCTGACGGTGAGACGGTTATTTATATTGTTAATGCTGATGAGACTAAATATATTAATCTGAAAACCTACACAAAACCAAAATCGAACCTTGAATATAGTTTGAGTGGATTGGTGGTAATTGTTCATTCCACATAATCTTACTATCATAACAGATTGAGATTCTTAAAAACGCCTCTGGTGGTCTCAGTAAACGCCCCTCTGCATCACGTGATCTCGCTCAGTTCATCTGTAAGATGCCTGATTTGAATAACCTGAAACTCCGCGGTCAGTATCACGATGACTTCTACTCAACATCATCGTCGATGGCATCATCCGCAAAGGTATTGCCTTTACTGTCCGAATTAGCACACCATTCATAATAAGATAGGAAATGATTAACTCTCATCGTTCATTCCATGATGTCACATCATACATCTCAACTAACATGTATTCTACAACCCACCTTTCTTGTTAGTCAAGTCAATATATTTATTCCTCGCTCAAAACCTGAGAAACAATATGTTCCCCCTTACATGTTTACTTAACGTACATCTTTACGTAATATACATCTTACAACGTATAAACAGTCCCAAAAGAACAAAGTTACTATCAAAATATGGTATGGTATCTGAAACAACGTAGGTGATGAATTGTATATCATTACAAAATAATTATGAGGTGTTCAGATTTTGGAGTATTATATATTCTATTTGTATCATTGTTATAATTAAAGACGATTCAAACCTATGCTATTCTCATTCCATCATGCCCCCTTTTTAAACAATACGCAAAGAACTTTAATGCATAACAAATCTAAATCATATAGCTAAGCTCTGCGAATCTAAAATTCTGAGATTTCCGGGACGTATTATCATGATTGTATTGTACCTTTTACAAATTGCAAGTAATACATCTATTTGTAATACTATTATAATACCCAACCAGACAATCCAAACATTTCTACATAACCATAACTAGTACTCTTTCTGAGGTACGGTCCACAATACAGGGACTCACTTAGCAACGAAATGATAAAATCCCAAAGTCTAAACAGTTACAAAAGCAAGTTGAATGCAAGTTGAAACTAAATTGCAATTAAACGAAAATGACCCTCCCCCTCTTTCTCTGCCTCTGTCACACATCGAAACGCTCATTTTACTCTCCTTGTTTAAATCAATGTTAGGTTTTCATTAAAAATGCGTGCTTAAGAAATGCCTGATAATACATAAGACATTTGAAAAAAATAAACATAACAAAATAGAATGAAGAATGTCCAATATACATCAGCAGGTGATTAGTAAAAAAGACTGATAATTTTTCCTTGGGAAAATGGGTGAATTTTTTGTTGTTGTTGTATATATCATGGTAATATATTATGTGAAAACGTTCAAATGAAGTTTAAATGAGGCAAGAGATTGTTCCATGCACAAGATTGTAATAATTCAAAATTAACAATTACATACATTTTCTGCTGGAAAAAGGTTTTGGTACGTTTCTACAATAAAAATGTTTAAGCTGACCATTTTCTAATTATTCTACTCCTGTATATACTTGTTCACTTACCTTCATAGCTATGTAATTTCCATGTGCATACTTTATGCAAATTAACATAATATGTTAATTTGCATATTATGCATGTTTCAATATCATAATATTTATAAGAATATCTTTACTTCTTATAATAGAAGATATTTCTCCAATATTGTACAGTTTTCAAGATTCAAGACATGTCTAATTACAAAAAGTAGAAAGTCTCCTGAAAAATACGTTGAATTGGCAATTCTGTAACATAAATTAACGCTATACTTATATTTTTTTAAATGCATATAAGGACAAATATACAATCTTGCTCCTAACGGAAAAAGGGAGAGATATGCAATTGTCGCTTTGATCAGACATTACACTGCCGAAATGAAGGGAGAGGGTTCCACTTTTAGTATACACATTTCTATAGTCAAACCAAATTTGGATAAATTAATGTATTAACTAGTACGCCGTGAAGAAGAAGCAATTATGAAAAGTTAAACGTTTTAGGAAGTGAAAGCTAAGACAAAAACGAGCTCTCTGTCATAAAAATGATCAAGAAAAAACAGATTAAAGATTGTAACACTTATAACAGAAGTATATATTTTAAATTATATATTCAATGGGGCAATACGGTGGGCTATAGAAGTGCTGATGAGACAAATAATAAATATATCAATTAAAAACCTACAAAATATAAAATCAAATCTCTTCGTTCCCGTTTGTGTCATTTTGAATCCCATAGAAACTGCCAAATTTTCTTTGTCTATTTGTTCACCCATTTGAGTTAAGTTCTTATGAAAGAAGACTTTAAAGTGATATATCAACAAAATATAAGAAAAACGTGTTGTTTTTGTAAGTGAATGAGGATGGCGACTGTATCATCGTGTAATATATGATATCATTTAGAATAGTAATTTCAGGAATTGTTTATCCAACACAATTATAACAGATTAAGACTCTGGATATCAACTCTCATCCCGATGAACGTTCCTCTGCATCACATGATCTCGCTCAATTTATCTGTAAGATGCCATATCTGAAGAACCTGACACTCGACGGTCAGTATCACGATGACTTCTACTCAACATCATCGTCGATGGCATCATCAGCAAAGGTATTAATTTGATCAGATATTTTAAGACTCTAACCAAAATATGCCTACATAATTTGTTATACTTGAAGTATACTCCTTTCTATAAAGTCAAAGGCAAGTGGATGATTTTACACACCCAATCAGTACACCGTTAAGTGGAAGCGTATTGCTTTTGTAATACATTGGAAACTTGATGTTAACAGTACTGTTTCAATCAAACGAATGACGATTACAACTGTACTATCATTATTGTTTTTAAAATATTGAATAGCCAAACACCCGAATATCTCGATCGTTTGATAGTAATAAGGCCAATAATATATACCACCAGGTATGCAATGAATAATAAATTAGTTGCTCCCCAGTATTTACCGAATATCGATAACGCAGTTTTACATATCAAGGTCCATATCTATTCAGCAAACTCCCTTTAAATATTCAATCAATTATTGCCTGTATTTAAAATATGTTGCCGATCTTTATCCCACGCTCTTTAGAAGTCCAAACATGTAGAATTTTGAAAAGTTTTAGCTGCCTTATTTTACTCTCTTTTGTTTCGTTATACTTTATATCTTGAGTCAAGTCCTACAGTCAACGGGTCAATATAATCTTGACAAATTTCTCACTTTTTATCCGTCATTCCCCTGGTCCCGAATGGATCAGTCAAAAAGTTTTAATCACTTCTGTTGTAACCTATTATTAATGAATAAACATCATTATACCGGTCTCAAAAAGAATCTAGGAACTATTGAAATTAATGCTTATTTCAGGTGTCAATATTTGTTCCTCATCACACAATAAATGTGATCGTGTAATAGTTGTTTTGTATTGTGGTAAAGATTTTAGCATTAACTTAAAAAGATTGTTGAATATTTAAAATTTGTTTAATGGTTTTGTTTGTATTATTCATTAAACGAAATCTTACTATCATAACAGATTGAGACTCTGGACATCAAGGCTTATCTCAATGAACGTCCCTCTGCATCACGTTATCTCGCACAGTTCATCTGTAAGATGCCTCGTTTGAATAACCTGACACTACGCGGTCAGTATCACGATGACTACTACTCAAAATCGTCATCGATGGCATCATCTGCAAAGGTATTGATTTGATCACGTATTTTAGGACTCTTAGCAAATCATTACTTGTTGTATTATACTACAGGTGTAGTCTTGCTCTATATCCTCTTTATTTTCTCTATTCGTACACCGTTAACAGGAAGCAGGTAGGAAAAGTCGAACGTCTCAGGAATTGAATGCGAAAAGGAATCTTTTTGTCTTCAGGTAAAACCAGACTGCAAATTATAAGATTGATAGTGTTTAGAATAAAGGTGCACTTCATACTAACACAAAAGGAACTTGTCAAACTAAAAATTGGGCACTTGTACTATGAAAAAAGGTGCATTTTAGGGAAATTAGAAAAAATGGTTGGGGGGGGGGGTGACTGTATCCACTGCTCCGACAGTCAACATGATCTAGAAGAGATTCACGGTAGTTCACTTTTATCCGTAATGCCGCACAATACTTCCTCAACGTATTCTACTATTCTCCATTTGCGGCTAGTCATGTCAGAGTCATAATTTGATCAGTCAAAACATGTTGTTCTCCTTTGTCGTTACGAAGCAATAATGTATAAACATCAATATATCAGTCTAAAGCAGGGCTCCCACTTAGCCGAGTTGTATTAGCGAGTTATGGCGAATTGTGGTGAGTTGCCTCAAAGAGGCACTCGCAATAACTCGCGAAAAATTCGGTATGGCTTAGCCTAACTCTTTACAACATTCCAAGACTCTCCTCGAAGTCGCGAGCAGTTCCAAAATTTTGAACATGTTCAAAATTTTCCCCCGATTCGTTGTAATTCGAGTTGAACTCGCCTACACTCGTAATATTCTCGCATTACTCGTAACAAGCTCGCGCTGCACTCTTCATAACTCTAGCTACAAGCCACCTGAAATATTTGAACATGTTCAAAATTTTCGCTGATTCGTTGTAGCTCAAGGTGAACTTGCTTAACACTCGTAATATACTCGTAGCAACTCGCCACCTTATGAAGAGTGCAGCGCGAGCTTGTTACAGGTAATGCGTGTATATTACGAGTGTAGGCGAGTTCACCTCGAATTGCAACGAATCGGGGAAATTTTTTGAACATGTTCAAAATTTTGAAACTGCTCGCGACTTCGAGGAGAGTCGTGGGATGTTGTAAGGAGTTACGCTAAGCCATACCGAATTATTCGCGAGTTATTGCGAGTGCCTCTTTGAGGCAACTCACCACATCTCGCCATAACTCGCTAATACAACTCGGCTAAGTGGGAGCCCTGCTTTATAAGATTACAGGAACTACTTAAATCAGTGCTAATTCCACGTGTCAAGACTTGTTCATCATCATAAATGCATGTCATGTGGATTTATATACGTATAGTTGAGATGTTTTTTTTTTCCAATGTAGCAACGATAATCTTGAATATCGTTTCATTGAGTTTGTAGTAATAATTCTGTTATCACAATGTTACTATCATGATAGATTGAGACTCTTGACATTAAGTCTGGGGATCTCGATGGACGCCCCTCTCCATCACGTGATATCGCTCGGTTTATCTGTAAGATGCCTCATCTGAAGAACCTGACACTCGACGGTCAGTTTCACGATGACTTCTACTCAACATCATCGTCGATGGCATCATCATCAAAGGTATTAATTTGATCATATATTTTAGGACTCTAAACAAATGCTTACATGATTAAAAAAAAAAACTTGAAGTGTACTCCTTTCTGTTTATTTTAGGAATCTTAACAAATCGTACATGATTTGCATTACTTTAAGTATACTCATAATACATTAATCCTCCGCGTCAACAGGATTTCTCTGATTGTTAATCGTGAATCGCCTTTTTTGACAGCTCTTGTCAAAAAGATCAGTACTTCGAATGACAATTAAGAATAGCAAACCCCGCACCAATTCTCCCGTCCACACCACTTATAATGCACTTCTATAAGTGAATTATTGTTTTGAAGATACGATGACATGGTCTACGATCGGTGGATCTCGTTATTCCTAAGTCATGATTGGATCAGTAAAAAAAACATATAGTTCCCCTCTGTCATTACGTAGCAGTAATGTATACACACGATTATATCAGTCTCAAAAGAATACAGGGACAACTGCAATTATTGCTCATTTCGGTTGTCAAGACTTGTACATCATTACACGATAAATATGATTGTGTTAAGCGTGTTCCATTGTGTCAGCGATATTGATGTCATTTAAAACATATTGCTGAATCTTAAATATAGTTTTAATAGATTGTTGGTACATGTAATTCCACATTCAACATAATTTTACTATCATAACAGATTGAGACTCTTCGTGTCGTCTCTGATCATCTTAGTAAACGTCTCTCTGCATCACGTGATCTCGCTCAGTTCATCTGTAAGATGCCTAATTTGAAGAACCTGAAGATCCGCGGTCAGTATCACGATGACTTCTACTCAACATCATCGTCGATGGCATCATCAGCCAAGGTATTCATTTGATCATATATTTTAGGACTCTTAATAGCATATCACTAAATATTTGTAATATATACTTGAAGCGTAATCCTTTCTATACTGTATGGTAAAACGCAAGTGCACGATTTTACTCTCACCATAAAGAGGAAGCAGTTATGAAAAGTACATTATTACACAATAACTATGATTGTGTTATGACTTGTACATTTGGGAATAAAATTAATATATTTTTAAATATATTGCTGACTCAGGCGCGTACGCAGGGGGGGGGGGGGGGAACGTTTGCTTGGATTGTCTCATAAAAGAAGTTGACCATAAACTAACTCCAATACAGTGTTACGTGCAGGGGTCACGGGCAACTGGCTTTATCGGGTAGGTAGTGCCCGTGCATCCGGAACTTCCTGGTCAAAAAGTCAAGTTAGACGCCGAAGGTTTTTTTTAGGTTTCCTTTATTCCGACAACAATAATCAACCAATACAAACGAGAAGAAAGCTAACGATAAGTATAGCCACTCACACCAAAGCCACCTGACCTCAAAACCACCTGACCTCAAAGCCACCTGACCACAATGGAACGAGTAAGGGCCTGCAAGAGCGGCCGAAGTGCAATTGAAACTTGCTATTTTGCTCTTCTCCAACGCAAAAAGAGACGAAATAGTGCTGGATTACTTTGTTTTTTTCCCGACAAAACTACAGAGAAAGTTTATATTATTTTATTATATTTTACTTTTTTAAAGTTTACCCAAGTGACCCCCGGGCACTCCAATGCTGGAATGAAACACATTTTTTAGACAATTTCATTTGGTCAGGCAAAAATGCTTATTTGCTCTATGCACGCGAGTCAGATTGAGCGGATGATACGTTTCCATACGGGAGCTCAATATTTCCCAATACGTCAAGGTTATCATTTATTTATGATAAATTAATAATCATTATTTCCTGATATTCGTTTGTAACATCGTTCTCCTCAGAATTTTTTTTTTTTTTGCTTTTTATGTTAAGCAATGTCATTTGGAAATAGTAAATAAATGAATCTGAATTAAAAAAATCAGATCAACATGTCTAAAACAAAAAGTTGAATCTTCAAGAAATAAGTAGTAAAATGTCAGTCATTTGTTTATCCAATTTAATGTTGTTAATTCACCAGATTGAGACTCTTGACATCTGGTCTGAGAGTCTCAGACAACGCCGCTTTGCATCACAAGATCTCGCTCAGTTCATCTGTAAGATGCCCCATCTGAAGAACCTGACACTCCGCGGTCAGTACCACGATGACTTCTACTCAACATCATCATCGATAGCATCAACTGCAAAGGTATTGATTTTGTTATGACTCTGAGCAAATCACTATACTGGAATCGTCCTCATGTGAATAGTCCAACTAAATTTGACGATTGTACTACAAAAAATGAGTACACCATTAAGAGGAAACATGAGAAAAAGTAGACATTGATTGAAATAGATCTTGCATGTCAAATGAAAGCTCATGATCTAAAGAAAGTGAAACGTGTCATATCTTTCTTTTTAAATACACATTTGACTACAATCAGACATTAAAAATTCAGGCTTGGCACCCCCACCCCCACCCCCACCCCCACCCCCACCCCCAATAAATGAAACTGAAATCATACAAACTGGGCGCTTCGATGAAGCCTTGCCACTTTCAGATTCACACAACGCCGTATCAACATACGCTAGACGATTGATTGCAGCCATATTACACTCGCACCTGACAGACAACATCACACATTAGTTGCCGTTTGATTGTGGATTTAATATGTTACCTATAATAATAATACTACTCATTTTTTATATAGTGCTTAGCTTATTACAATCACTAAATGCTTGCAAACTTGGAGATTATTACCCCGGCTTTAGCTGTGCTGCCATTACGGCGGTCTAGCATTTCAAAGAATTAATTCCTGCCAGGTACCCATTTACATCAACTGGGTTGAGTGTGTCAATCAATGTCTTGCCAAAGGACATTAGTGCCGCGGCGGGTCTCGAGCTGCATTATCATCGGCATAATATTGTAACTTTGACAACTGTGGTTTCAAATATGTACTTGTGCATGTTATGGAAAAAGTAAAGGTAGGCACTTATCAAAAGGGAAAAGGAGAGTTATTAGAAAAGAAAAGGTGCTGTGTCAACGTAAAAAGGGCAATTGTCAGAGCCTTCAGAGGTGAAAATGGCACTTGTTGCACCTGAAAAGTGAAGAGGAGTCTTTCGAAGAAGGTAAAAGTACACTTACTAAAATGGAAAAGGGGCACGAGTCAAAGTAAAAAAGGGCAAAAATATCAGAAGTTAAAAGGGGAATTTCTCGCACCTGAAAAGACGTATCCATCAGAGATGAAAAGAAAGAAAAAGGACAGTTATTAGAAAAGTAAAGGGGCACTTGTCCTGTGTAAAAGGGGGTACCTGAAAAGTGGGTGCCAAAGCCCCTCCCCCCACCGGGAGTGCCGCCTCTGGCATAATAAGCAAAATGAGAGAAAAAAAACCCAAAATAGGACAAATAATAATGTTAATAATAATAATAATAATAATAACTGATGATAAGTTCAATCATTATTCTTCCATGAAATTTGTGCAAAACATCGTTTTTATTAGAAATATATTTTGTTTTGTTATTTATGTTAAGCAATATTATTTGCAAATAGTAAATACATGAATCTGCTTCTGAATGGTAAGCATATCAACGTATTTATAAAAAAAGAACTGATGAATCTTCAATACAGAAGTAGTCAACTGAAATTAATTGTTCATCGGATGAAATGTCATTTCTATAACAGATTGAGACTCTTGTGATCTGGTCTGATAGACTCAGACATCGCCGCTCTGCATCACGTGATCTCGCTCAGTTCATCTGTAAGATGCCTCGTTTGAAGAACATGTCACTCGGCGGTCAGTATCACGATGACTTCTACTCAACATTATCATCGATGCCATCGTCTGCAAAGGTATTGATATTAGATTTATTGTACGAGCAAATCAAGTCATGTTTTGTTATATCGGAGATATAATACATAAAGGCCTATTTCTAAGCTGAAACAAAACGGATGGTTGTATCGTCAAAATATAGTTACCGTCACGAGGAATCAGGTTTGAATATTTAAACATTAAGGAAAGGAAATTAAAAAATTAATATACTTCAATAAAAACAACTAAACATTGATAGTAAAAACACTTTCTTTTTCATTCTTTGGATGCAGTACGGAAGGCTATTGAAGTCCAAATAGAGTGATTGCTACTTAATCAAGAAAAAATGAGTATTAATATTTAAATTTTTAAATTAACCTGTTTTTTGTTTCTGTATCCGTGAAGAATCCCCAAATATATCATGTTTATTTATTTTTCTCACTTTTTGTTGTCATATTATAATATAGGCTAACTATATTTGCGGTTAGAATTTTTCCAACAGTTTGCAAAATTTTAGCAATGGACGGCATTTAAAATGAACACGCACTGATCTCAGCCATCATTTCTTTCAATTAGGCATATACAACAAATTAAGGTACACAGACGGCTTCAGATGGGAAACGGTGTTCGTCTTTTTAAAAAATTGGGACTCCGAAGTAAACGTCAATGCAAAGTGCCTAAATGTTATATTTTAGGGACCCACCAAAAGTTTTATGTATTTCAGACCAAATGTTTCGGCTGGAAATGTTTGTTTGGTGTAGAAAACCCACTTTGAACAATACAGTGAAATGCGGTATAGGATAAGACCTGCAGAAGACCTCATGGGCCCTGGAGTCGCTCCAAAAGGGCCCAAAGTACCAGTAACTCAAGACAGTCCAGAGGAAATTTTGGTGTACTTGATGCACAGCTAGCATTCAGACGTATAAAACAAATAATTTCTTGTTTTATCACAAATTATGACGTATACTAAAGTATTCAATGATAATGCAGGTGGACACTGTATATCTCACTTTGTTCACATATGATTGCAAGACTTAGAATTAGGAAAGAACTGTTCCCTAAACTATTAAAAAAGTACTGGAAATGAATTATGTGGGCCTCGTGACTCACGATCCCTAACAACAGAGTTAGAGAAATATCTTTATTGAAGTTCATGACATCTGCGATTTGTAATCAATCTGCTTATCTAGGGAATGGCATTAAGAGGAGAAACTGAAATTAGCAGATGCGACCCATTTCAACAATTCCATTATAACAGATGTATTAAACTGATAAACCAAATACTACACTTTCGTTCAATATATATGGAAACAGTCTATTTAAAACATATTTCCTTAATAGGGCCGTACACATAATTTCTTTAAAAAAAACATCACCTAGTTCAATGATTGAATTACTTTCTATGACAGGTTGATGTCCCTTGTAAAGATGATGTGGATCTTAGGCCACAGTCATCATCATCATCATCATCAAGCAGACTGGGTCGTTTCATCAGCAAGATACCTGGTGTAAAGCGTTGGAAGAAATCTAGATCGAAGTCGCATCGACATAATGCAGAATCTTCAGGAGCATGTGCACAACAGGTACAGTGAATTATAGTAGTAGATGTAAACAATGGCGGAAATATCACACGCTGAACTCCTTTTATCACGTGTAAAAACTGTGCAAAACAATTCTGCAACAATTGTCTTTACTAGGTCAGCATTGTCAGATTTTCTTGTTTGTTTGTGCTATACATAATATCTGACCAGGGGATCGAGCAATGTCTGTATGGGAAAGGGTACTCCTTTTTAGTACTTTTCCCAGAAACGTTAACAAAAATATCTCCCTTACGCCATCCGGCCATCGTACGCCAGCTTACTCTCTAAAAAAAATCGAGTGATCACGGACGTCACTCCTCTGGAGAGTGAAAATGTTGTGAAAATAGAGTGAACATTCACTCTTTTCTTCTTAGAGAGCACTCTAAAATCAATCGATTTTCACTCCTAAACAAGTGATCACGGACGTCACTCCTCTGGAGAGTGAAAATGTAGTGAAAATAGAGTGAAAATTCACTCTCTTTTTTTTTTAAAGAGAGCTTAAGCATGACCTACGCAGGGACTACGCCGAATGTACATTAGTTCCATGAATACGCAGCCTAATTTCGGCGTAGTTTGTACGCCACACAACGAAAGTGTAGGCAGATCCGGTGTGAAAAGGTCTTAAGAGGCAAATTAAGCTGCCTTGTACGTCACATTTTAAAGTGTGCGAACATTACAAGAGGTATTTTGCATAATCCGGACATGATATATGTGGGATATACAATAAGGTATTAAAATTGCCCCGCCCGGGGTGGTTTTGAGGTCCCTCCTTGGAACCGGGAGAGGGGGGGGGGGGGGTAGATGCACCCCATTAGTTTGACTGAGTTACCACATGTAATCTGGACAATTTGGTCAAAGAAGTCTTTCGTATCCAATCGGTGTATTTTTTTTAATTATTGTTTATTTTCCATACTAAATACTTAAAAACGAGCGTAATCCATTTTAAAAATTGCGTCTACCGGCAATCATACCTCATTCTCTATCAGTCTGTACTGAAGGACGACCAGAGTGGTAACACGAGCCCCACCCTGACTGAGCTGACAGTGGGTGGCGACACACTAGAAGGATGGCAGGATTGTGGTTCGATGTTTGACAACGTAAGGAGGGTCACAATACAAGTACGGAGCACGATTAACTATGACGTTTTCCAGATGATCCTTATACCAGGAGCAACAGAACTCACCATTCAAACATATGAGTATGTACGCCGACCTGCTGATTTCCACGAGGATCCCACTTCCCTACCCAGTGCCCTCCTGAATATATCCCCTCAGCTTGTTAAGGTGACATTCAGCGATCTGGACATTGGCAACAATAAGATGGGACAAATCTTACTAGCTTTCAGATCACCTCACAACCTCAAAGATCTGAAGACCATAAGGTTAGAAATTATGCCTTTTTAATTAAAAGAGCCCTTTGACATTTTGTTATTTTTAATTTCCCCTTTTTTGATTTTCTTTCTCTATCACGGCCTTTTTCCCCTCTATATAATACATTTCTCTAAGTCATTATATTTGAGTATTTTGCTAACACGAAAAATGGAAAAATTTGTTTTCTTTTAATTGAATTGAATGGAGTATGTTCCTCTTTTCCTTTTACTCTATCTCCCAGTGTTTGAGTGGATTTGATTAGATTTTAACTTACAGATAGCAATATCGAATTATCTTCGTTTCTTTGATTATTTCTTGAGTCTCTCTCTCCATCTCTCAGAACTGTGCATAACTGGAATTAGAAATTGTAATATGTACCATGAAAAGCATATAAAATGTTAATATCATGCTTAATGTAGAACATCTACATAGCTACAACTAATTATCATGCTGGTAGGCTAACGTGTTCCAGGAAGATTAAAGGGCAACTCTAAAATAACTTACTTCCAATAGAAGCAGAAAAATCAGACAAACCAATCAAAAGAATTTGAGCACAATCGGATAACTAATGAGAAAGTTATATATTTGTAATGACATAAACAAAATTGAAAATCACAATACAACTCACTCGTGAGTCTGTGACGTCTAATTATTTTCTTTTTCCTTCGTGGTAGTTTTCCGGGGGGGGGGGGGTATTTTCCGAAGGGTAAGTGTCAAGGGGGGAATTGTCCAGATACGTAAAAAGTTAATGATGGGCCAATCAAGGGGTATAAATTATTTGTGTATTTTAATTTACATCATTATTACCAGATATATTCTCGAACATTGTTAATTCCGGTAACCTGCCCCGATCCCTTATCACTTACTATCAATAAAACTGTATTCCGTCTATCTTGTTACTGGTAGGTTCATAAGATGCGGGACAGATGAGAGCATGGATGATTTCACCAGTGCTTGCAATACAGATCCAGTCGTGGAGGTGGAGCATGGAAAACCACGTGGGTAAGTCCTTAAAACTTTAACTTCAAGACTTGCATCACCCTCAAAGTTAGTATATCCCTTTCGCAGCTAACATTAAACTATGTAGAACTATGCAGGAATTGTGAATATTTCACGTGTGTCCTATCTGTGAAATTTAAATTTTAGCAGTATCCTAAGATTCAAACTATGCACGGAAACACGTTTACTTGCTAGACTTTACATACATATGTGTTTATTTGCTTATTTCCATTTTCATCGAAAATGAAAGGAACTGACACTCAAGATCTCACATAAATCAATCTGTGCAAAATGCAACGAACAGTTGACGAAAGAAATGTATGTTAAATGATATTCCTTTTGGAAATTTCTAATGATGAATATTTTAGGGTGCTCAGTGGAAAATATAGGCTGTGTTACTGGATTATCAAAGTGATAAACTGAAGATTTTTATTCAGTTTTCTAACAACATAGTAGGCCTATTACATCATTCGCATTTCGTTGTATTATGACTTTTTCTATGTAATAATTAAGGGAACGGTAAAGATGGTTTTGTTTAACGTATAGCCGTTTAATATTCAAGCTCTTTTCTTTGTCCTCTGTTTACTGCTCTATGTGATCATTTTGATGCAGCGCTGTATTTTTGTTGATGTATTAATTTATATTCTCTCTCTGTCTGTCTGTCTGTCTCTCTCTCTTCTATCACATCAGTGAATCTTTGTTAACTAATATGGTAGATGACACCTCACTCGATCTGATCACTCAGACGGATTAGACGATCATTGCTCGCGAAGACGAAATACCGGCTGAAGTGACAACTACATGAAAATACCATTATAGAGGTATCAGATAATTACTCAACGATTAATTTGAACTCATGACCTTTTTGTACTTTTTTTTTTCTTCACCACATACACTTGCTCCGTTTACCGCATATTGCTTACTTTAGTGCTTCTTTCACATGATTTCAGTGCTATTTAATGCTATTTAATTCAGATTTCTTTCTAATTTATGTTTCCATACGTTGCAATAAGCTATATTTCTCGTAATTATACTGATTTATTTTACATATTCAATATATCATGTTATGCTATGTTATATATTACATTATGTGTTATTAATTTTGTTTGTAAACTTTTGTAATTCGGCTAAACGCCGCGATGAAGGTTTTATTAGAAATAAACCATTTTGAATTGAATTGAATTGAATGGTTGACTTTTGACAAATCTTCAGAGTTTGGGGGTTTGTAAGGCAGATGTTGAATTGCTGCGAGTTTTATTTAATATATCATTGTAAAAATTTGAATTTGATTTAGAATCCATCAAAATGTTCAATGTCATAGACGGACGAAATACCAACACCAACAGGATTAGAACAGAGAGTCATTCATGCTTTAATTTAACTAACGATCACACAACTTAAGAAAGTATCAATTCTACTTTACTTTTGTCAACTGCCGTTTTACTTTTAAGCTATAAATATAATCTAGCGTCTTCAGATTTATTTCACATTACTATTTTTGGAATGGATAATATCATTCTCGTTCAAAATTGTTTGCATGGTATAGATAATTAAATTGAAGCTCGGTGTACATGATGTGTAATTTACCTACACATGATTGCGTCAGCGACTGGTGTAGGTATTGACGCACCATGCGAGGGTGACATGCTACCAAATAGTGAGTGCAAATTGAATGGTGCAAACCTCTCTTTGAATTAAGGGTGTTGTAGTCCTAACTGAATCAACTCACTCGGTTACCGCAGGTATTAATGCAGTGCCAACACCCCTCGCGTGCAATAAGCATTGTTCAAATGATGTCTATGCAATTCAAATCAATCGTTTTTTATGATTTATTTATTACGTGCTATGACAAAACAGCGTGGTCATTTCAGAGCCAAAAGGCATGTTTTGAATGAAAGCTTTTAATGTATATACAGAGATATAATCAACTAAAACACCAAAAATATGAAGAAATGGCAGTAATTTGCTGACTTAAAATCCGAGCTTAAAGAACGTACGGGAAGGAAATTGAATAATGACAAATAAAAAGAATGTGTACAAATAACAAACAACTGAACAAATGAAAAGAAAATCGAAAAACATAGTGTTCCCCTTCTGAAATTCCCTATACCGGTAGTTCTTTACTTTGATACATGTATTAATGAACCGGGATACAACTTAATATTTAGATTGTAAACTCAGAAACGGTTTTATAACTGAGATGTGCAAACTGAAGATAATTTCAGCACCAATTTTAATTTGATTTCATACGCAACTTTTCTTACATGTATCCACAAATAGAAAATAAAGGAAACGTAACTAATCATGTATCCTTCACGGCCCTTGTAAAAAGGACAAACGAAGACTACATTTCTTTCACAAATATAACACTGTTTTCTTGTTTTATCTTACGTTATGTATGAACTCTTGCATGTGTTACGTCAAAGGTTTGTTTGTATTTCGTTAATTTTAACTTTGGAAAGGTAAACTCTCTTGATATATATATGTGAGTTGTCAATTATGTATGTGTATAATTTGCAAATAAAGTAGCCAAATGATCGGTGCTAATACAAAGGAGTGTGTTTGTATATTTATGTCATTTATCCAAGCAGATTATTTTCTACATGCTCAAGTTTTTTAAAACTTTGTACGATATTTTTTTAGAGTATGAATCTGACATGTGTAAAAAGAAAAGCAATTGTTTATTCAGACATATACATTTCTATTTCAATAAGCAGGGAAAACTATTGATTTTATTATTCATTATACTTGCAGATTAGTCCTAAAATTGTATTGAATTCTTTATCACTTCATGGTACTGGCAGAGGTTCGTTTATTAAAGGTAAAGACCAGTTATGGTCATGCGATTGCATTGTGAAAGAAACGTTGTGGAATCGATCAGAAAAGGTTGATCATCTAGCATCTAGCATCTGCAAGGTTCTGGAATCATCAAAATGATAAGAAATTTGGCCCATTCTTCATAAAGTTACAAGCACTATACACAGAAAGATGTATATGGGACTACCCTATATCTCTCACAGACCATGAGAGAAACAAATTTACCAAATATATGAATTAGTAGGCGGTTTCCAGGCAATTTTTTTATCATCATGTATTAGTCAAAACATATTCTTTCACATGATTGGTAATGAGAGCTTTCATTTCATTTTTTGAAATTGGGGCGTTTCCAATACTAGTCTTTACCTTTAACAAAAATCCAAAGTCGTCTTGATTCTCTGGTATAATCAGGTCATTAACATTACTTCACAGTGCTATAATAAGGACATTCATATTATTTGAAAGCGAAACGTGATATTATTAAGATTGATCACGCGCGTACTGAAATTAATTTAACGATTATATACAACAATAAATTACTTCCAGATGCAGTCAAACATTGAGCAGGAACTTGAAGAGCGGGGGGGGGGGGTATAGTGCCCCTACATCTTAAAGATAAATATAAGTTCTAGTCAGGCGATTACAGCGTGAAAGAAACGTTGTAAAAGCGATGGGAAAAGGTTGGCCATGTAGCACATATGTATTGGTGTATACTGTGAGGTTTTTGGAATAATCAAAATGATCACAAAATTAGCTCAGTCTCCCTTTCATCTACCTTATCTTTAGTTACACATTTAAATAAGTTATAATTTTCTTTGTTTTTAATAATCTGCATTATCTTATCTCCCATCTTATCTCTCATTCATCGTCGTTGCCATTTTCATTCGGCTTCAAAGTATAGATCCTTAAAATTTGATAAGTTTCAGTAGTCAGACTGGATATGATGACATGAATAATACTAGTTGTATATGCATTTTATTGTATTGTTTTGGTATATTATCTATAAAACATTATTGATTCATATCAATATTATCTGTCTACACCTACGAATGTTATATCATATAACACATTGTGCATGACATACACGAAATTTCATATCTCAAAAATACAAAGAAGGTAATAAAGCTAATGTAAACACCAATAGTAGTCACACATGATTAAATGACCATAAATGAAAGATATAGTATATGACGAAACATTCTGAAAGTCATATTTATAAAAGCAAATACATAGAATAAGGTTATGTATATATATTTATCTATGAACATACATTTTTTCCAGAAAATAAACAATGCGTAAAGAATAAAAGGTATATTAATAAGTATAAGTATAAGTATAATAGTTTATTGTCCTTTTCAGGAAATTTGTTTAGCACTGGTTACAGAGTATTGCGATACAGATATATAAATGAAATATTACATGACAGAGATAAACATACACATATGATAAACATACAATAGATGAGGTAATATATATGTAAGCCACGGTATATATGGTGGTTAAAGAGGTAATATCAGATTCCATTTTACAAAATATGAAGCTGAATTATTTAATATCAATGATTATTTCATAGTAAATATTAAAATGATAACAAATACATAAATCATTTTTATTGTCATTTGTATCATCATTATTATTATTATTATTATTATTATTATTATTATTATTATCGATTACCATTTTGAGTAGTATAATTATTACGGGCATCGTTTTTATTGTTAAGTTTATTGATGACACATAGATTGTAGTTACTGGCTCAAACGGTAATTGATAGTTGGATGCAACATTCATGGCATATATTTGAAATTTATATTATATTACATTTATATTAATACATTGACATGGTAAGTTCATAGTAATCAAACACGTTTTGCTTTGGAATTGAAAAGATGAATAGAGTCGGGGATAAAGGATCTTCGGAAACGTGCACGTTGAGTTCGTGGTGTGCACAGGCGTATTCCAGATCTGTTATAATTGAAATGCTCATTCAGTGGGTGCGAGGGGTCATGCATTATTTGTTTTACTTTAGAGAGGGCATTTTTCTGATACAGATCTTCTATGGATGTTAGATCGGCTCCTGTGATACGTTTTGCTGCCTTTCTGGGACGTTCGAGTAGTTTCTTGGCAACAATTTTAGCGTTTGCATAATAGCAAATTAGGTTGAAGGTTAGTGAAAGTATCAAATATATTTCAGTAGTCAGACTGGATATGATGACAAGAATAATTCTAGTTGTATATGCATTTTATTGTATTGTTTTGGTATATTATCTATAAAACATTATTGATTCATATCAATATTATCTGTCTACACATACGAATGTTATATCATATAACACATTGTGCATGACATACACGAAATTTCATATCTCAAAAATACAAAGAAAGTAATAAAGCTAATGTAAACACCAATAGTAGTCACACATGATTAAATGACCATAAATGAAAGATATAGTATATGACGAAACATTCTGAAAGTCATATTTATAAAAGCAAATACATAGAATAAGGTTATGTATATATATTTATCTATGAACATACATTTTTTCCAGAAAATAAACAATGCGTAAAGAATAAAAGGTATATTAATAGTGAAAGTATCAAATATATTTCCTTCGAAACACACGCTCCCACTGCCTCTCTTTCGGTCATTTTGTTTTCTTCTTTTACCTTTCCACTTTCTTCTAACAATATCTCTTTGTCTCTGTATCCTTCCGTCTTTCACCGTCCATTTCCCGCCTTTTTACTGCCATTTCGCCGTTTCTCGCTGAGACATCTTTTTATTCCTAATCTGGTCAATTTTAATTGATGAAGGCTTGCTCCAACATGACGCGGTAAACCGCATAATTTTATATCTAGACAATTAATTGTCTGCCCTTTCATATGACACCTCAATCAGGAAAAATAAGCCGGGAATAAAAAAGTTCTGTTTGTTTTAAAGTAATGCTTGCATTTCCATAATTTGATTAAACGAATTCGACTGCCTGCCGTAGCAACACACATAGTTGACAAAAGACCTAACTCCGTTTCGTTGAGGATCAGCCATGCACAAAGAAGACGAAAGACGAAAGACGAAAGACTCTTTTATTATTCCTGGCTCATTTTTCCTGATTGAGGTGTCATATGAAAGGGCAAAAAATGAACTTTTTCGAAATTTGATTTTCTCTTTGAAATTCAGATACCGCCCGCCAAACGACTTTTCGGTATCCTCTCTTCAAATTGTTGTTAATCACTCATGCGTGAAATATGCATCACATGAGTTGCATCAAATAAAAGAGAAGGATCTAAGCTTTCCAAATATGTGTCATTTATTAATTATAATTGTGATTAAGTTATGATAAAACATCGATAGTTCTCAGTTTCGTTTTTTCTGGGACGCACTGTACTTTACGTCAGTATAGAAAAAGAAAAAGCCGCCGCGGTTTTGCCGCGTGATATTAGAATAAGGCGTAAAGAGATAAGAGGGTCTTTTATTTCTCTTCCTCCATATGGAATACGGGATTGTCGTGAGTGACTCCATTTGTGATGTCCTTCCTGTCTCTAAACTCATCCGATACGTCTTTATCTTCCTGAGCTTCGTAAACTTCATCCTGGGATTTTCGTTCCTCGGAGTTCTCATCAATATCATCTTTCCTACAAGATTAAGAGAAGAGAAAGAGTTAGAGATTTAAGGTATTTAGATAAATAGTCACAACGATGTATTTCTATCGGGTGTCTTGAATAACTTTAGTTTTAAGTTAAATCTTTGTGAGAAGATCAGGGTAGAGAAGAACAAGGATAGGAAATGCGAAAAGGATGAGCCTCAATATGTATATATAGCTTTCCTTTAAAAAAAAATGTTCATGTAAGTGGTGTAAATAAAACAGTATTCGCATCATACTTAATATTAACAACAACACCAAAACACCGTAAAAGGTTATGACCCCGACAGACAATACACGATCACACGGAACGGGACAACACATCAAACAAACACAAGCACAGAATTAGCATGGACACTGAATAGCCTTCTCTTACAGTCAATCTATAGTTTAACATTGGTTGTGTAACTTTTTATTTACCTAAGTATTATGTTTGAACAAAAATAACCTTGATGACTGTTGGAATGGCTCCTCAAGAGCATTATAGAAATATGGGCCACTGTAAAAAAAAAAATTGCAAACAATAATCTATCGAATTCGATTTTAGAGGAGTAAAAGCCCGACATCATCATGATAGAGATGGTCCGCATAGACTTACAAGCCAAATCGTTCTCCTTCTTCCAGCGTCTCTGGGAGTTTCTTGCCTCGTGTCTCGGGCAAGGCTAGGGCAACCAGAGAAGCCATGACGGATAAAGACCCGTAGATAACAAGAGGAAGGGGGTCCCAATACTTGCTGAGGAGGAGAACAAGAGGAGCTAATATGCCTGCTATTCTGCTGAACATAGAACAGTTGCCGATAGCGACGCCTCTACATAGGGGAGAGAAGAAAATAATAATAACAAATATTATTATTAGAAACTGGGCATTGTGTAATGAATAAAATGGGACGATCTAGGCAAATAACACAGGGATGCTATCTGTGTGCTATATAAACAGTTTATTACTATTTGTTATCACTTAATCTCTAATCTATTTGACAAGGATATCATAATCCACAAGTTAAGGACCACACGTTTAAAGCACAAAAACACGGTTTGGGTTTTTATACTACCATGACTACAAGGCTACAAGAATATAATTATTTTGCAGTGTCAATATTAACACACTCAACATTCAAGTACAACAAATAAGTTAGTAATAAACGGAACAAAATTCCTGGGGGGTGTTTCACAAAGATCCTAAGTTGTTGTAGCTCAACACGGTAAAAGGAGAAAGAACGAACCTAAGAAACCTTGGATTACAAAAGCTATAATGAATTCCATAACAAAGAAACATACAATGTATTCACAGGTTCTTGCCACCAACCACAATCCTGTCTATTTAACAACATACAAGAAGTACAGGAATATGTTAACTACAATAATCAGAAACTCAAAGAGAAATTACTATAGTAGGATATTCCTTGAAAATAAGGGTGATACTAGCAAAACATGGAAGACTGTAAACGAGATTTTAAGTGGTGGAAACAATTCGTTTAAGCCAACAGTGGTGGATAAATTGTGTGTGAATGATACTGGTACTAATGAAACCCTGTGTAATGAACAAGATATTGCAAATGCATTTAATGACTTCTTTGTTAATGTTGGTCCAAATTTGGCGAATGCCATACCAAACACAAATCGTAATACAGAGAAAGTTTTAGACGATGGTGTAGACAAATCTTTCTTCTGGAAACCAGTTACTGAGAGTCTGAGACTGAGGTTAACAACCATTTAATAGCCTTGAATGTAAAGAAAGCTAGTGGGTATGATAATATGCCAATCAAGCTGATAAAAGATGCTGTGCACTATGTAACTTCTCCCCTTACATTTATTTTCAATCTGTCTTTCACCTCTGGTAAATTCCCAGATGCCTTTAAAATAGCAAAAGTGACACGTGTTTATAAGAAAGGACCTAAAGATGAAGCAGGAAATTATAGACCTATTTCAGTATTACCTGTTCTTGGGAAGGTTTTTGAAAAAATTGTAAATAATAGGCTTCTTGACTTTCTTGAAAAAAATCATGTATTATATGAGCACCAGTATGGCTTCCGTAAAAAATACAGTACAAAATTGTCAATGATAAATTTAGTTAACACTTTGAGGAATTCAATGGATGAGGGAAGAATCACACTTGGGATATTTGTAGACTTTAAGAAAGCATTTGATACAATTAATCATGATATTTTATACAGCAAACTTTCACACTATGGAATACGAGGAATAGCATTACAGTGGTTTAAGGACTATTTTTATAGAAGATTTCAATTTGTACAGTACGGAAATGTAACATCTCCCATGCTGCCTTTAACATGTGGTGTACCGCAAGGCTCTGTCCTAGGCCCAACGCTTTTCCTACTTTATATTAATGATATGCCATTTGCTACACGTTACTTTAACTTTCGACTCTTTGCGGATGACTCAAACTTATTCCATACATTTCCTGAAGGGCAAAAAGAAATTGATATGACTGAAGTGAACACAAATCTTCAAATTGTTTCAGACTGGTGTAATGCTAATAAACTGACAATTAATTTACAAAAGACGAGTTATATGCTAATAAGAAACCAGAGACGGCAGATTAATGTTCAAGGGCAACTGGCTATATCAGAAGCTGAAATAATAGAAGTTGATTCTTCGCTCTTTGTTGGGATAAAGATTGATAAACACTTGACTTGGAAACCCCACATACAAATGGTTAATAAATGCATCAGACAAAAAGTAGGAATCCTCTTCCGCTTACGGCATTTTGTGCCTAGAAATATCCTAGTGTTGTTGTATAAAACCTTTATTCAACCTCATATATCATACGGAATTGAAGTGTGGGGGAGCACTTACAAGTCTCACTTAAATTGCATACTGTATACACAGAAGATGGCCATACGGACAATCACATTTAGCCATTTTATGAGTCGTTCAGCACCATTGTTTTACGAATTGAAAATCTTAGATATTAACAAGTTCTATGAGTTGTCTCTATGTACATTTATGTATGACCTAGTACATAATAATTTACCTCACTGTTTGACGGATTATTGTGATAAAATTGAGCATAGATACAATACAAGAAAAAGAGAAAAGGGCCATCTACGTATACCACTGTATAAAACAACACAAGGCAAATTTTCAGTAACTTGTGTAGGAACCCGATTATGGAATGAACTTCCCGATGAAATCAAAAACAAAGGGTCTAGAAACACTTTTCGTAAACATCTCAACGATTACTTGATGAATAAGTGATTGAATTATGCAAGTACACATGTATATATTGTAAATAATCTCCATATTACATTTTTGTTGTTTTTTTTTTGTCAAAAAAATGCAATTTTTTGTATAAATAATCTGTAGATACATGTATCTATGACTTTTTAACCTGGTATATCCTCTTCATAATTATATTTGGAGTGTAGAAATTGTGCTACGGTATTACTCAACATGTATACTTCTACTGTCAAGTTTTATTTTTTGATAATGATATATTTATTTTTGCCAAGTGTGTGCTAAGAACAGGGGCCAGACTCGACTAGCACATGTGCTATTATTTGGCTCCTTTTCATCACCTTCTATATTCTATGAGAAAAGACATATGTCTAGCATATCAATACTTTGTTAGGTTTTTCTTTAATATGATCTATAATATTCATTTATGAACATGTACCATTCACGATGTATTCAAATGTTTAATCACTGATGTTATTGATGATGAATAAATAAAATAAAATAAATCTCTAAGTTGGACTTAAAATTTATGGGAAGCCATTAGCATCCTTGAAAACATTTTTTTTTTTTTTTTTTTAGAAGGCATAAAATGTTGATTCAAATCATTCATATTTTCTATTATAATGGGAGATTTCATGTTCTTGATGTGGAATTGATGAAAAATCTAAAATACTCCAATTTTTTGCTTTTTAATATATTTCATTTTAAGGCTCCAATGGCTGTCCATACTTTTTAAGTCCAACTTAGTGTTAAGTTCTACTTAGGATCTTTGTGAAACACTCCCCAGGACTCTGATTTTTCGGTAATGTGATAATGATATTGATGATGATCAGTAGTTGTAAAGATAATCATGATAACAGTACTAATTACAATGATAACGCCTGCTTTTATAATAATGAGCTATACCAGGTTCAACAAACTTAAGCGCTTACTCATATTCATGTTATCCAGGTCACTGGATTCAAATAACTATTCATCACATAACAGTACACATTTTCCACTCCCTGGGGTGGATTTCTGTATATACCTGATGTTCGTTGGGTAAATCTCCATAGTGTAGAGATAGATAATGGTGAATGAGCCAGATATTCCAAACTTTCCGATCATAGCCACGGTCGTTAGGCCAACGCCAGGGGCTATTATGAAATCAAGTGAAATTCAGACAGATATTTACCATTTTCAAATATCCAGAATAATCACAGGTTAGAAAATATCTTGTTCAAATACAAGTTCAAGTTACAGGTCAAGCTAGGTCAAGTTAGGTCAAGTTAATTTATTAATTATTTCCTAATAATGATGCATAACAAAAAACATGGGAAACAATTATGTTTTACGAAGATCTCAGTAAATAATAATTTAACATTAGTAACTTAACAATATGTTATTCACATAACATGTAGTTTTTTAAGCTTCTACCAACCTTAAATTTGTTATGCAAGCTTTCATCCACTTTTGAGGACTTTCTCAAGCTAAGTGATCAGTCTGAGTCACACGTTATTCACATGTTAAGAACTTTAAATTAATTTATTTGTTTAGGAAAATAGTAGGGCATGTTTAATTTTATGCTTGTATATTACATGCCCCAAAATTTAGTTAAATTTAAAGTAGCCAATGATTGGGTCACACATGTTTTTAAAATCAAAAGTATCACAGTCAATCGTATGAAGTTTTTTAATTTTTTTTTTTATAGAGAACTGCATAGTATCACAATAATTTCATTACTAGATTGTGAAACAAAATCTTCTTACGTATGAAGGCAGTTGAGAGACAAGCCAGCCCTCCCAGCATCATACAGAAGAAAAGACTAAGCCTTCGACCAAAAACTTCGACTATGACAATATCGACAAGGTATGCTGGGATCTCGATGCCACCAGAAATAGCAAATGCAACATAGTCATTGGTGCCGAGATTTGAGCTATTCAGAGACAAGCCGTGGTAAACCATCGAATTCACCATCCTAAAAAAGAGAAGAAAGAGATGGAGGGGAAGGAGGAGGGAAGGGTAGAAGAGATGGGAAGAGGAGGGAAAGGAGGAAGGGAAGGGGAATGGGGTGGAGTAAAAGGGGAGGAGAAGGGGAAGGGGAGGGGGGAGGGGGAGGAGAATGGAAGGGAAATGGAAGGGGAACGGTGAGGGGTAGGGGAAATGAAGAAGAAGGGAAGGGGAAAGAGATGTTAGAGGGAAGGAGGATGTTAGGGGGAGGGGACGGGGTAGGGAAAGGGGACGGGGAAGGGAAAAGGAAGGGTTAGGGGGAAGTTGGAGGAAAGGGGCAGCAGAGAGGAAGGGGAGGGGAATGTGTAAGCGAAGGAGAAGGGGGAAGCGGAGGGGGAAGGAAAGGGGGAAAGCGAGGGGGGGAGAAGGGGAAGAGTGGTTAGGGTGAAAGGTGGGATTAAAAGAGACATCAAGAATATAGTAACGTGGCAAGAACAAGAATCTGGATCTGTTAGGTTAAAGAAACTACTTTGGATAATTCTAAATCCGATGTCAATACATTCTGTTCAATTTGACCAGGAAAGTAAAATAACAACCGTAAAACATTATGGCAAGCCATTATTGTCCAAAACAACTTCCCTTATCAATGCACATAAATTTATCATCGTACCTGCACTTATGGGTGAATTAACTGTATCAAAAAGAAAGTGGAACCTCTGTGTTTGGTCAACATTGGTTAAAGTAAAGGTTCGTGAATAAAACAGACATCGAATCAACAATAAAATGAATTTCACGATGGTTATTGATGATTAATTGAGAGTTACCATATAAAAACCATGTTAATTGTCCTCATTCTCATTCTCGGTGTACGAACCAAATCAACTACCGTAGGTCTACGGGCCTTGCGGATCTCATCCTGTCATGGAAGAGAAATAAGTGTCATGTAATAATAGCTTTTCAAGACAAAATGCAATGTATCAAAAAAATATCGTATCCAGATAAATGAAATGAACTGAACTGATAACAATGTATAAGTGGATATAGAGAGAGAGAAAGAGAGAGAGAGAGGGGAGGGTGTATGTGAGTTTATGTTTGGGTGTTTGTGCGTGCTTGTATGTGTGTGTGTGTGTGTGTGTGTGTGCGTGCGTGTGTGTGTGTGCGTGCGTGCGTGTGTGTGTGTGTGTGTAGGGGGTGGTGAAGGGGGTGTTTGAGAAGGGAAGGAGGTAGATTTCGAAATAGAAATAGGTGGGTGAGCAAGAGAAGGAAGCTAATTAATATTTGATTCGATAAACGAAATTTCGACAAGATTTTAAGTGTTATTTATCATTTATTCTATTTCACACACGTTCCCACTCAACACACACTTGCGCACCCACACATAACAAGCTGTATAATTATGTTACCTGCTCTGTCGTGTATTCTTTGGTGAAAAGAGGGCTTGGGAGCTCGGCCCTGTTGACTTCGGCCACCTTGTTGATAATTTTTTCGGCCTTGTCGTATTTCCCGACAGAGATAAGCCATCTTGCAGACTCAGGCAGCCATCTTGAATTCATTGAAGGAAACAGTCAATCGATCAGATTGATTGATTGAAATTCATATTAATTTCACTATGACAAAATACGTTACAATATATTCGCCAATACAGATAAATACATTGCAAAGAAGGCAGTAAGTTCCGTAAAATCAGAACTTGTCGAAGCGCCACTACTACTACTACTACTACTACTACTACTACTACTGCTGCTGCTGCTGCTGCTGCTGCTGCTGCTGCTGCTGCTGCTACTGCTACTACTTATATCCCACTACTACTACAACTACTGCAACTATTACCACTGATATTATTACTACCACTACTACCGATACTAGGCTACCACTATCCTTATACTAATTCCACTGCTACTAAAACCACTCCTTCTACTATTTTTACTACAACTACAACGACTACTAGTACGACTATTAGTAAGGCTGCCTCCTCTTCTTCTACTTGTTCTCTCTGTGATGATGATGACATATTACTGCAAGAAATGTATCATGTATGTTTTGTACAGAGTAAAAAAAAAAACATTGCATAAAGAAGCACTGCCAATGATGTATTTCATTGTAAATATTGACAAAATGTACCAAAATGTAAAGTAACACACAAAATTCCCTACATGAAAGCGATAAACATGGGCAGAAGAGGTGCAGTCACGACCAGTTGCAATGTACGCCATGATCGAATGTAGTATGCCGGCAGAGCAAGGAACATGTATCCAACAGCGTAGCTGATCCCAGCTAACATAACTAAATTTCGTTTAGATGGCCCAATAAACTCGGTACCTTATAAACCAGAAATCAAGATGTGAGAAAAGAATATGGTGAGTAAACATAATGCTAACATAAAACACGGCCACACAAACACCCACCGCAACATATATATATATATATATATACATGTGTGTAAATTTTGTAAGTGTGTATATAAATTAAGCATGTGGACTATTGATTTGTCCCGTTTTATGTTTCTTGAGAATGTGACGAATTAAAGCTTTGTAATGAAAGTATTCAACAAAGGCCCTTGTTCAACCCGTCCAAAAACATCAAATTTACGAGGGGTATAAATAATTTTCTTTCAACCGCCTATTAATAAATGATATATTTGGTAAATTATCATATCGATCCGGCCTGGATAGATATCGCGAATGCACACAACATTGAACACTTGAGCATATATTGATATATTCCTGCTTTTTTGCGAATTTAGGTTGAATTATTGCCATCTAAACCTCTGTGGGCGATATTTTAAAAACAATATTGAATGGATATTTTGCACCCAAAACTCCTGAACCGCAATTTTCCCACTACCGATCTTTATCTTTACGGATCTCTCTTACCTATGACATACAGGATAAGGTTGAAAGCAATGTTACCGAACCCCATAAAGAAACGCATGGTAGCAAAGAACCACCAATTGGGCGAAAAGGCAAGAGCAGTTCCAGAAACAAGTGAGATGACGTTCGCAATGAGAAGACACCACCACCGTCCAATGCTGTAGTAATAAAAATCATTATGATGATGGTAAATGCTGTTATCAAATGGTCAACAGTTAAACATTTATTTAGCCCGAATCTATGGAATTATGGAGATTCATATACAATATAGAGAGCCATTTTGAAGAACAGAACGTTCACATTTTACATATTATTTTCCGTACAATTCCGCTCTGCATAGTACACTCTATTACTTGAGTTGCACTATTGTTTTATGTGTATGAATACAAATCTATAATTATGATGTACAAAACATTTGTTCAGTTGCCAGGATCTTTTTGTAATTGAAGGTATACCAAGTTTCACAAGGTTCAACACTTCTCTGGTTCCCAATCCCTCCTACTGACACCAACAGGCGACTGCTGCAAGCCTCTGATGATAACCATCAAAGCTTCTATTTCGTAGCTGCGGTAAAGTTTTGTTTATAACGTAAAACACATATTAGTTCGAAAATAGCTTTGAATGAACATGACTCACCTTGAGAAATTAAATATCGAACTAAACCATACATTTCTATTTTTGCTTTCATTCGCGATTTGCGAAGAGAAAATTATGAAGAAACTCCTGAAGAAAGTGACAGTGTCAACCTACATATCTGAAAGGATGCCGAAGAAAATAGAACCCGCTAAGAATCCTCCATAGAAGATAGACTGAGATACCTGGGTGAGGCCATCCTTGCCACATACAAGGTCAAACTGTATGGAAGAGAGAGATAGAGAGAGAGAGAGAGAGAGAAAGAAAGAGAGAGAGAGAGAGAGGGAGAGAGAAAGAAAGAGAGAGAGAGAGAGAGAGACGAACGGGCAGACAGAAAGGGGGGGAACATTGGTTATAGGTAAACATTTGACTCTTTTAATTGATAAAGATCCAAACTAATGATCCTTTTAGGTCTCTGTCGCCAACCGGAATATCTAAGCACCAAATTTTACCATGGAAAAAGTTGAATACATGACGCCTCTCCCTTTTATTTGCTTGATGCTGGATAATTTATTTGCCAACTGTCAGTCTATGCCAATTGTGTTGTTCGTGACCATTAATGTATATTGGAGATGACTGACTCTTTATTTGTACTTATTGTACTTATTTTGGCTTGGAACAAATACAATAAAAACTGCATAACACGTTTTTTTATGATCTTGTTATACTTTATATATGTATATTGTAAAGCGTATTGAATGGTCAGCAGACATGAAATGCGTTATGAAAGAACAAATTATTATTAGTATTTGAGAGGAGATTACCTTAGATAAGGACAGTATCCTCGGATCACAAATAGGCCACAAACTCACAATATGTCCATAGATAAAAATGTTACGGAACCGTACTTTGAAGGTTTAGCTTTGGTCAGAAGGGATTAGTAATAAAACCAAATATTGTCAGAACGAAATACGGTAAAAAGGTAATAAGCTTTGATGAAAAGTTGGTATTTGATAACCTAATCCAATCGGGCAAATTGAAAAAAAAGGGATATTTTTAGATCTGTGAGAAGAATTTCAAGAAAAGTATGTATAAAGAAGTTGTAAACGTTAATCCATATAAATAAAATCGTAACCAATGCTTGTCTTCATTTGTTTGCTTTCACTTCTTCATTTATTCTGTTTGAACGGTTATAAATAATATAGTCGGTGGATAGTTAGTATCAAACTTTTTTTGGACTGGGATCCCGACTATGAATGCTTACGTTACCTTTAATGCTGTTATTTCAATGGTTCCAGGATTATTAACTATGTTAATCAAGTAATTACTTAGAAAGAGTGTGTGGCCTTTAATACACAAAGTCAGTTCTTACATCTGTCACTGTCGTCGTCTTATATTGGCTGTCATCATAGACCCATCCACTATCACATGACATCGTTCCGCTGCTGTAATTGGCTGGATCAATCCCAGGCCAGAATCCCACTCCTGACACGTTATATTTTTCACATTGTGCGTACTCCAGCTCACCATCTGACGTGTAATTTGATGGGATGCTACCTTCCTTCTGGGCCAGTTCACAAGCTTCTTCTGAAAGTCCATACTGCTCACATCCAGGAGTCCATTCGGGGCTCTTAAGTGACATGGAAATATAAATTCCGCTTTTAATAACATGTTTTGAATAACGAAAACAAATAACAATCCCTATAAAATGAAACAAAATAAATCTGTGAAGTTCTCGTTATTTGTCTGCGCTATGACATCATTCAGGAATATTTATATAATGAGCAATAACAAATAAACTATACAGGGTGTCACTGCCCCCACAAAAAAAATCAACAAGATTTTATTGGCAACATCTTGAAAAGTACTTAACCATCCTCAATGGAATCTAAGAGATAGTGCTGTACTAGTGTATTCTGAACTCGGTGTGAATTTCATAATGATTCATCCTACTATCGCAAAGTTAGGCGTGTTTTTGTAAGACGTACCATTTCCCCAAAGTTATAGAGAAAACGCGTAGCGTAACATCGATGCAGAATAAGCGTAATACACCTGTCGCTTCTGCATTTAATGGTGAACATTTAAACTGAAGTCATACTATCTCTTAATTTCTTGGTGGATCTAACACTGAACAACTTTATAGTGATATTTCATCCATATTTTTTAGTGAATATGTATATAGAATATATCTTAAGTACAAGAAACAAAAGTTTAACAACAAGCACCAAACATTGACTTTAGGATATGTATTCTCAGTAGATCTATGAATATCGCATAACATGTCTTTTAAGTTTCTCCCCATTATATATATTATTTGGATTTGATAAAGCCATTTTGTCTCTACAAAATATACTATATAAAATATGAAATTACATTTATCCTAATTGTTTACATTTATGTTGTTACGTGAATTGAAGTTGGATTAAGAGTCTGACACAAAATGTCCAGGCACCAGATGTATTCTTAACGCGCTATCCTTCTAACAATTGAAATTTTCTTCGTTTTGTAGAATATAAAATGATCATTAATTTTTTTTTTTTAGCACAGATATCTTTAACATTTACGCAAATTTTAGGTAATAATTATTCAACATTACCTACGAAGTTTCCTTGAGAATGAATGAGTGCTTCGTAATCTCGTTGCATTCATTTTCAGGCACTCCGTATATAGCACTTGTTTATTGAACATGCAATTCATGGGAAGGAAAGTTAAACTAATAGCTCAACAAGTGTCAAACATTACCTTTAGGTTGCAATATTTCTGGATTTATTGAAATTGCGATTAATCACCATCTATTGCTATAATCATCTATTGCTTGAGTGTTTTAATTCTCTTATATACTGTTATATTCTTACCGCACACCAGTGGTCAACAGATGCATTGAGGAAAACTACTACCAGGGAGGCCCATGAAACTGTAAACTTTAAGATGACCACAATGATATAAAGACGCCGCTGATATCGTCCAAATTCACCAACCGTCTTCAGAATGTCGTCAAACTTCATTTTGCTTTTCGTGTTCAGAAACTGCGAGCTAACAGGAGAATGCTTGATATTGGTAAGCTATCTTTACCTTTAGTGGTTTAGTGGTGGTGGTTATTTTACCTGACTGCTAAGGAAGCATACCCCATTGTAACATTGTTAGTAAGCAGCCAGAGGACCGAAGGCTTTAGTTCTGTGCTTTACCATTTATTTGCTTATTGTTACGTCTATTTGATATTTGACAGTCGTATACTAAACTTTGTTTAAGGTAAACTTTATCATTAAGTATAAATACAAAATAATCTACATTGATAGCTTTCATTGTTCTGTGCTTAACCATTTATTTGCTTATGTTTATGTCTATATGCCGTTTAACAGTCGTATTGCAGCGTGGAGGTCGTCATGATATCAAACTTTGTTTAAGGTATGCTTTGTCGTCGAGTCATCCAGAATTGGCAAAGATTACTTGGGATGCTATCTTTCTTTAATCACAGTTAACTGTAAATTTATTTGGAAGTTAACAACGTGTGTTCTTGTTTGCATGTATTACATCTTTAAAGGTAAAGACCAGTATTGGAAACGCCCCAATTTCAAAAAATGAAATGGAAGCTCTCATTACCAATCATGTGAAAGAATATGTTTTGACTAATACAATGATGATAAAAAATTTGCCGGGAAACTGCCTACTAATTCATATATTTGGTAAATTTGTTTCTCTCATGGTCTGTGAGAGATATAGGGTAGTCCCATATACATCTTTCTGTGTATAGTGCTTGTAACTTTAAGAGGAATGGTCCAAATTTCTTATCATTTTGATGATTCCAGAACCTTGCAGATGCTAGATGCTAGATGATCAACCTTTTCTGATCGATTCCACAACGTTTCTTTCACAATGCAATCGCATGACCATAACTGGTCTTTACCTTTAAGATTAGTTAACCTCTGAGTTCCATGTTAAGTTCGAGACATATACCTTATGCACGTATCTTATGGAGGTGAACTTGTGGAATGGTCAACTAAGCAGAGAGATCATGAGACATGAATTTCGTAGACAGTATGATATAATTTAAAATCATCGTAAATAATTCCTCATTGTATAATTTGTTGTTATAACGTTTTCACTTCATTTATATTGCATGTATGACTTGTATGAATTTGCCCAATAAATAATGATAATAAATTAACACATGTACATGAACTGACCCACATTCAGTGAATCAGCCCAAATTTGGTAAAAGGAGATTTTGACGGCACTTTTTCAAAATCCTGGTGCTCAAATTTATGACATGGTATCATTAGACAGAAAACAAGTTCCTCGTTATCATGATAATGATATCAAGGTTACATTGATAATGAATTTGTGATAGCAAGATACCAAAGTTGGGTAATTTGTTGTTACATCTGTATATAGGTACTGAGATAAGAAAGGGAGAGAGAGAGAGAGAGAGAGAACGTGATGAGAAGAGTTTGGCCAAACCGGTTCGACTTGGGCGAAACATGGCGGGAAAAGGCTATGGAAGGCAAGCACAAAACGAAAGAACATACGCCACGTTGTAACCAACTGAACTAAGATGGCAAAACTCTGTGTATAGTTGGCTCTGATTAGGACTAATAAACGGCAAACTAAACTTTCCCGTGAGTAGGATGATATAAAACGTGATAACAATTACCTCTAACTGCTTCTTCTCAAAACTATATATTTTTATACCACATAAGTTAAACGTTTAATTATATTTTGGAATGGTCGAGTTTCCTCCAGAAAGAGAGACAGGGAGGGAAAAGGAGAAACAGAGAGACAGAGAGAAAGAGGCAGAGAGAACATAACCATACCATTACAAACATCATTAAGGAAAAAATACTGAAGTGGAGGTAGAAATGATTTGATTACAAAAGCGGCAACATCTTTCAGGATTTGATCATATCTCACGTTTTGTCGTTTATTTGTATATTATATGCATATACATATATCATTCACAGGCCTAGATAATAACTGATAAGAGAGTAGCCGCATCAATATTAATACTGCACTTCCCTGCGGGACCAGCTATCATCATGATTACCCCAGAAATTGTAATTTCGCCATATACACAAGGATGGAGAGTTACAAGTGTGGATAAATCGTTTGTCAAAGGACATTAGTGCCTGGCTGGGATCCGAACCCTCATCCCTTGGATTGAGAGTCAAGTTAATGAACTACTATACCACGACACCTGCCAAGCTCATTTGATATGTAACCTGTCCTTATGGAAAAGGGTAACTTTTTAGAAAGGAAAACGGGCACATGTGAAAAAAGGTCCGCTTATCTGAGTTAAAAACGTCCAGTAATGAAAAGGGAAGGGACACTTTTTACAAAGTAAAAGGGGCACCTCTCAGATTTGAAAAAGGCGATTATCAGAGGTAAAGGGGGCACTTATAATTATCATGTGAAACGGAGCATTTATTATAGGTTAAAAAGGGCAAAGGGAAATGGATACGTGTTACAAAAGATAATACGAACATTTCGAAAGAAGAAAGGCACGTGTAAAAAGACTTGGTTCTTATCAGAAATGAAAAGGGGAAGGGCATTAAACAAAAATGATAGGGGCACTTTCAAAGTAAAAGGGGCACTTTAACTATGTAAAATGGGGAGCGTCTTTCAAATTTAAAGGGGAACTTTTTCTTTTGAAAAAAGGGGTACTTGACAAAGTGGGGGTACTGTGCCCCCCCTGCCCCCCCCCCCCGAAGCGCCGCCTCTAAACTAAAGAGTTTAGAGGAAGTGATGGAGTCGCTGGTACGGTAGGGTCCGAAGCAAGGGCCTGAAACTGGGCTCTTCTTCAAGAAGGTCATAGAAGATTGCAATATCCATTTGGTCACCCATCTTGGAAGAAAAAAATGGCTAAAGAACTCCCGCTCTTTTTGAGTCGTATCAAGGTCGGAATTACTTGTAAGAAGATCTTGACAACTCAATCTTAAACCACTAAATCATAATCGGGATCACTCGAGCATTACTCGGCACTACTCGTGGTTTGCTCGTTGTTACTCGTGCCGTGCTTCGTTTAATTCGACTAGACTCGCTGCAAAAATTTGCCATTTCCCCCCGAGTTTCCGGAGTCGGAGCTCGCGGCAACTCGCAGCAACTCGCAGCAACTCGTACTTCCATCTCGTCTATGTGTGGACGTAGCATTTCCAAAAATTTCCAAAATGTTATGAAGAAAACGCGTTGCGTAGCATCGATGCAGAATAAGCGTATACATCTGTCGCTTCAGCATTTAAAGACGAGCATTTTGTTTAAATACGTTTATCCTAATGTGCAAGATTTATTTTGTAACAGGAATTGAAGTTGGATTGAGAGTCTGATACAAAATTTGAAGGCACCAAATTACTTATTGTGCAACAGTGCTTTTTAACGCGCTATCCTTGTAACAATTGAAATATGCTTCGTTTTTAAAACAACTTAAAATGATCATAAATTTGTTTTTTTTAGCAGAGATCTTTGTTAAAAATTACGCAAATTTAAGTTAATACTAATTCAACATTACCTACTTATTTTTATTGAAAATGAATGAGTACTTTGTAAGATTTTGCAAAGAAAAATATCGTTGCATTCTATTTTTAGACATCCCGTTTATAGCATTTGTTTATAGGCCATGAACATCATGAGAAGGAAAATAAAACTGACAGCTCAACGTTACTGTCAAACATACCTTTAGGTTGCAATATTTCTAGATTTATTACAATTATGATTAATCAACATCTATTGCTATAATCATATATTGCTTGAGTGCTCGAATTATGTTCTGTTCTTACCGCACACCAGTGGTCGACAGATGCATTGAGGAACACTACTACCAGTGAGGCCCAGGAAACTGAGAACTTTAAGATGATCACAATGATATAGAGACGCCGCTGATATCGTCCAAATTCACCAACCGTCTTCAGAATGTCGTCGAACTTCATTTTGTCTTTTGTTTTTAGAAGGTACGAGCTTGGTTAGCTATTTTCACCTCCAACTGCTCACGATCCTCAGTTATGGCTTTAATAGTTCTGTGCTTAACCATTCATTTGCTTATTTTAATGTCAATTTGCTGTTTGATCGTCGTATCGCATCATCAGGTAGTTATGATATCAAACTCTGCTTACTTTGTTAGCACTCTAACTTCTTGTAATCCCCATATTAATTTCCTTTATAGTCTGAAAACTTCTTTCATAGCTAAGTTAATCATTTATTATGTATATATATAGCTTAAGTTACATCACAATATTGCTTATGTTACATCACAATATAGCTATGTAACATCACAATATATCAAATTCATATCAAAGAATTTCTAAAGTTACATCACAGGATAACTAAAGTTACATCACAATAAAGTACAAGTTCCATCACAAGATTGTTATGTCTATTTGCTATTTGACAGTCGTATACCAAACTTTGTTTAAGGTCTGCTTTATCATTAAGTATACATTAAAAATGATCTAGATTGATAGCTTTCATTGTTCTGTGCTTAACCATTTATTTGCTCATGTTCATGTCTATTTCCTGTTTTACAGCCGTATTGCAGCGTCAGATCGTCATGGTATCAAACTTTGTTTAAGGTATGATTTGTCATTCAGTTTACTTTGGATGCTTTATTTTTTCATCAAAGTTAACTGTAAATGTCTTTGGAAATTAACAATGTGTGTACTCTTTTACATTTATTACATATTTAAGGTTAGGTAACCTCTGGGTTTTATGTTAAGTTCGAGACATATACCTTATGAACGTACCTTATGGATGTGAACTTGTGGAATGGATAAGTGAGCAGAGAGATCATGAAACATGAAGTTCGTAGGCAGCTTTAAAATAATTTTTAAAAATCCCTTTGGATTTAAACAAGGTCCTGTGAAATCGTAAATACATTGATCACTCTTAACAAAGAACCCCTGAAACACACAGCATAGTTGACTTTGAAAAGGATTTGAAAACCAAATTAACACATGTATATGACCTGACCCACATTCAGTGAATCAGCCCAAATTTGGTAAAAGGAGATTTTGACGGCACTTTTCTAGAAAAATCCTGGTGCTCATTCATCCAGGGCAGAAATTTGTTGAACATGTAATCATTAGACAGAAAATAAGTTACTCTTTATCATGATAAAGATATCAAGGTTACATTGATAATGAATTTGTGATAATAAGCTACACAAGTTCGGCATAGTTTTGTTAAAGTGTTGTGAGATGAGGAAAAAAGAGAAAGACAGAGAGACGGAGACGGAGACCGAACAGGATCAGGAGAGTTTGGCCAGACCGGATCGCATTTGGCGAAATATTTCAATTACTGCTTTGTTAGGCAAGGACATAATGAAATACTAAACGCCATGATGTAACCAACAGAAGCCTAGTTGGCCAAACTTTGCGTATAGTTTGCTCTGATTAAGACTAATGGACAGCAGACTCTATGACCTGCCCTTGAGTACGATATCATAAAACGTGATAACAATTATCTCGTGTTGCTTCTTACTACCACAAAAGATAGACGTTTAATGATACTTTGGAATGATCGAGCTTCACATACATACATCTGTGAATGTTGATGTACATCTCCCATCTTGCCCCCCCCCCCCTTCTCCCTTGTTCCCCCTTTACCAATATTTTTCCTCCATATTATATTATTATGTATCCATTGAGGGTAGTTTTTTTTTTCTCTCTCTGTCTCTTTCCCCTTTTACCAATATCTTTCCTCCATATTTGTATTATAATGTATCCATCGAGGGTAGTCATGCTATCAAGCTTTGCTTACTTTGTCAACCCTCTTGTTTGATGTTCTCGATTAGTTACAGCCAGCCTTACGTGTATTCTTTTGTCATGTGTAAAATGTGCAATGTTTTGTTTGTTATATATTAGTAAAAGTGCAAAAGAAAAAGAAAATCAAACAGAAATAAACAAAATCAAATCAAATCAAATCCTCCAGAGATAGAGAGACACAGAGAGACAGGTAGACAGACAGAGGGACAGATAGAGACAGGTAGAGACAGAATGAGAAAAAGAAAGAGAGGGACAGGGAGGTCGAGAGAGAGAGAGAAAGAGAGAGACAGGGAAAAACAGGGAGGCAGACAGAGAGAGACAGAGAGATAGAAAGGGACATAAATAGAGAGACAGAGAGAGAGAGAGAGATATAGAAACAGACAGGGAGGGAGAGAGAGACAGAGAGATAGAAAGGGACATAAATAGAGAGACAGAGAGAGAGAGAGAGATAGAAACAGACAGGGAGGGAGAGAGAGAGAGAGACATAGTTAGACAGAGCTGGACAGAGAGAACATGTAAAAATGATTTGATTACAAAAGTGGCAACATTCCTCGTGATTTAATCATGTCTCAAGGGTTAGTATACCTCGAGAATATTTGCACAGACAGTCTACAGTACGATTTATCAATGCTTTTATGACTTCTCATTTAGATTAATGCAACGGATTGTACTTAGCTTACCGAACTCTACCATTTCTTCATGCACTACAACGTATTCAGAATATGGCAGCCCATCTCATTACCAAAACCAGAAAATACGAACACATAACTCATATTAGAGATGAAAAGGGGAAGGGGCATTAAAAAAAATAACAGGGGCACTTTTCAAAGTAAAAACGGGAATTTAACTATGTAATATGGCCATTTTGTCTTTACAAAATATGTTATACTGTATGAAGACATCAATTTTTAAAATAAATTTATCATAATTTGATACATCGATGTTGTAACAAGATTGAAGTTGTATTGAGAGTCTGATACAAAATCTGAAGGCACCAAAATACTTATTGTGCACCAGAGCTATTTCACGCGCTATCCTTGTAACGATTAAAATACGCTTCGTTTTTACAACAACATAAAATGATCATGAATTTGTTTGTTTAGCAGAGATCTTTGTAAAAAATTACGCAAATTTTAGGTGAAACTGATTCAACACTACCTACGAAGTTTTCTTGAGAATGAATGAGTACTTTGTGAGATGTTGCAAAGAAAAAATCTCGTTGCATTCGTTTTTTGACATCCCGTTTACAGCAATTGTTTATTGGCCATGAACATCATGAGAAGAAAAATAAAACTGACAGCTCAACAACTGTCAAACATACCTTTAGGTTGCAATATTTATAGATTTATTACAATTGTGATTAATCAACATCTATTGCTATAATCATGTATTGCTTGAGTGTTTTAATTCTGTTATATTCTTACCGCACACCAGTGGTCGACAGATGCATTGAGGAAAACTACTACCAGTGAGGCCCAGGAAACTGTGAACTTTAAGATGATCACAATGATATAGAGACGCCGCTGATACCGTCCAAATTCCCCAACCGTCTTCAGAATGTCGTCGAACTTCATTTTGTCTTTTGTTTTTAGAAAGTACGAGCTTGGTTAGCTATTTTCACCTTCAACTGTTCACGATCCTCATTTATGGCTTTAATAGTTCTGTGCTTTACCATTTATTTGCTTATTTTAATGTCTATTTGCTGTTTGACCGTCGTATCACATCATCAGGTAGTTATGATATCAAAATCTGCTTACTTTGTCAACACTCCAGTCTCATGTAATCCACATATTAAGTGCCTTTATTGTCTGAAAACTTCTTTCATAGCTAAGTTAATTATTTGTTATGTATATATGTTATTAACATGTATGTATTGAAAGCCAAAGTTACATCACAGGATAGCTTAAGTTATATCACAATATTTCTAAAGTTACATCACAGCATAACTAAAGTTACATCACAATAAAGTTCAAGTTGCATCACAAGATTGTTATGTTTATTTGCTACTTGACAGTCGTATACCAAACTTTGTTTAAGGTCTGCTTTACTCATTAAGTATACATTCAAAATGATCTAGATTGATATCTTTCATAGTTATGTGCTTAACCATTTATTTGGTTATGTTCATGTCTCAGTATTTGCTGTTAGACAGTCGTATTGCAGCGTCAGGTCGTCATGATATCAAACTTTGTTTAAGGTATTAATACTGCACTGCCTGCGGGGCCAGCTATTATCATTATTACACCAGGAACTGTTATTTAGCCATTTACACCAGGACGGAGTGTGAACATAAATCTTTTGTCAAAGGACATTAGTGCCTGGCTGGGATCCGAACCCCCAACCCTTAGATTGAGAGTCAAGTCAACGAGCCACTATACCATGACACCTTCCAAACTCATTTGATATGTAACCTGTCCACTACCGTACATTAAACTGGTTGTTAGAGATTCTTTGACCCCAAACCATCCGTAACATCTAGAGGAAGTTATATAGACTACCATGTAAGTTTTGAAATTTAGTCATTGTTTTATTGTCCATATATGGAGATTTGTCTTCTTGTTTACATACACTACAATATATATTATCGAAAAAAGAACTAATAGATCAAAAACATTTTCTGTTGAAAATCAGAGAATAAATTATCAAATTTATGAGTATATCATTATTTTGTTATATTCTTTTAATTATCATTATCTTTCTCATTATCATTAGTTATGTTATCATTATTAGTATAATTATTGTTATTATTATTATTTTTATTGTCATTATTACTGTTATTTCTATCATCATCATCATCATTTACATCATCATCTCTATCAGTATAATAGTTATCATCGTTATCATTATTATCAATATTCATTTTTTTCCTCTCCATTATTGAAGCTTTTACCTATTTTGATGATTTTCTTGACCACTTGAATACAGAAATTCGAAACTAGGGAAATTACATTCTCGTTGGGAATAGTAACTAAGAACGGGTCTTTTATAGAAGATTGCTGGCCATCAGGACCCGTGTTGTATTCACGAGTTATTGGGTATCATAAGACTCTTTAACTTGTCTAATGCATACACCCTCCCCCTGCAGAAAAAATACAACCACATTCAATAAATTATAATATTGGATTTACCATGATTTATAGCCTTTTTGGAATACTGGTCACCATCTCAAATGCCAATGTTGAAAATACGCGAACCAACCAACACATACACACACACACCCACGCCATCACCATTACTACCACCACCGCAAACAACAACAAAATCAGCCAAACAAACTAGCAAACAAGCCAGAAAACCAACTACCTAACAAATAAACAAGCAAACAAACATTACAATTCTTTAAAAAAAATTGGACAATCAAGTTTAATTTTAGTTGCTCATAATGCATTCAGCAATCGTCTTTCGAGCGTTTCCTAGTAAACTCAAAAGTTGACATTAACTGATTTATATATCTATATATATATATATATACTTGATAATTTTGCTTTACATTCATCATACTTCATACTGAATCATATATAACTCAACTGTGAACTAGATTTTCGTCATCAAAATATGACACTTAGTTAATGTCTGGATTTTCGCCTTCTATACATATGAACTTTGGTTTAATGAACTCCGTTAAGTCAAAATATTTTAAAACTTTTACCCAAAACCAATGGAAACCAAACTCAGAGATGGATGACATTTAACAAGACAATACTGTATACATGTAGTTAGATATTTATTTCCATCTATTTATTTTATTCATATGCATGCAAACATATTGATGTTTGAATAATAAGGGGCTAAGCTAACAAAGTGAAGATAAGAAATAAATCCCATAATTTCTTTGTTATTTGGAGGGGTCTAAAGAGCAGAGATATTTTATGGATAGACCCCGTGTGAGAGAATTGGTTACCAATTTCACACCGGTAGCTGTCTTCTCAAATGAGAGAAAGAAACAAAACAAATAAATAAAGCTGGAGGAAGGACAAGAAATGATACTGAATGACAAGACAACAGAAAATAAATAAAGAAATAAGTGGTATTGTAATTCTTAGGGGTCTGGATTGGAGTGTCGTAAATGAAGGCCAGTGAGTAAACAATGGAAATCAAAAGGGCGTCACATATCATGTCATAAGATCTTCTAAACTTTTCAAAGCGTAAGTTTAATGACTATTTGTTGCCAAATATTTTAGTTATGTAAAAAAAAAATCTATGTTTCTACAGCAAAAAATGTTGGAACATAGTTATTTTCTGTGCTAATTTAGATTCATTATTGTATTTTGAAATACTATTATATATATGATGTATATTGATGGGATCGTGTTAACAAGTCGCACCAAATTTTCTATGATCGCATCATATTTATATTAATCTTTTCTTTGTATATTTGCTTAAACCATTGTTAATGTTTTTTAATTATATTTTGTCATGCCTTTCTACATGTCTTTTTTAATTAATTGGGATGCGAGCATATATATCCAACTAAATTCTATTCCAAATTACTTGCTATTTGCTGGGGATTTTATTTGTGAGAGCTCTTTTACAGTAATGGGTTGCTGGTGAGATTATCGGTCTTATGTCGATGACCTTATGGTGCTCATCATACCCGTTCATGATGTGACGTCACTTTTCGATCTCGGAATCGTCATGCTCGCTCTTCTCTGAAAGGGTGAGAGATCAATACATAGCGAGAGGAGTGAGATAATAATAATAATAATAGTAATAATAATAATAATAATAATAATAATAATAATAGTAATAATAATAATAATAATAATAATAATAATAATAATAATAATAATAATAATAATAATAATGATAATAATAATAACAATAATAATATGTCTTGTTTACACTGGGTAGCCTCATCAGTATTCATACTGTTCTCCCTGAGAGCCCTGCAATCATATTATTACCCCGGTCATCGGATTCAGGCTTACCCGCACACAATGTATGGACATTCTCCACTCACTGGGGAGCATTCCAGCAAGGCGTCATTTTTACAAGCGCACATTTTCTAATCTAAGTACATTAGCTTTCGCATCCTCCCGGGTACCCATTTAACACCTGGGTGGAGAGGGGCAAATGTAGATCAATGTCTTGCCAAAGGACATTAGTGCCGTAGAGATGGGGAGATAGGAAGCTGAGATAGTTACAGACGTATACATACAAATGATAATATCTCCCTTAAATTCTGTTATAATCATTCCTACACCTTGGATAATGTCACTCTACTAGTTACTATCAATAACAAGCATTATGAGCAATAACACCTTCAATTGGAAAAAAAGTTTTGTTACTTTTATCATTTTATTCAGGCTACTATTCTACATAATTTTAAAATTATCGATAATAACTGCATGTTGCAACAGTCTCATATTGAACTGATTCAAATTCTTTTTCATTTAAATGCTAGAGATTAAGTTGACACGACTTACATGTTAAATTTTTCTCCTTCTTCCAGTGTCTCGGGGAGTTTCTTGCCTCGTGTCTCGGGCAGAGCCAGGGCAGACAATGCAGCGATGACGGCCATAGACCCGTAGATGACCAGAGGAAGAGGAGCCCAGTACTTGCTGAGTAGGAGGATGAGAGGTGCTACTATACTCGCTATCCTGGCAAACATAGAACAGTTACCAATGGCCACGCCCCTTTATAGGGATGACAACGAAAAAGTACAAGAAGAAAAATAGTATTACATGGTATCAATATATACATTATATATGGCGGTGATGATTTTTTTTTGTTTTCATGATGACAAAACGATCATCATTCTTGTAAGATTTAAAAAAAAAAGCACAATCATACCTATCTGAAAAAAGGTTCGGCCATAAGTAATGACAAATCATTTCAAATCATTGACAAACTGAACCACTATATGCATATAGTAAGATAACGAGGTAGGACAGCAGGAGAGTATTTAGAAATATACATTTTCATTTCTCTCTTTCTGCGTTACTTTTTTGCTTTTTCTGGAATTATCCACACAAATACAAGTTCTGCTTTTTAGTGGATTTGTTTGTTTCTTTCATAATTCGGCTTAATTTATGACATGCTATATGTATTTCTTATCCTTAAATGCTCTGTAACTTATTATTTCCGACATTTAATACAGAACGAATTAAAATAAGCTTGATATTCATCTTATGTCGGCGTTTGTTTCATGTTGCGATTGAGTTAACGAAATGAAAATATTTGAATTCAATGGAATCGAATTTATGTATGCAGTTAAAGATAACGTTACCGTACCCATGATAAAGATTGCCTTTATCTATCTACCTTATATTCGTTGGGTAAAGTTCCACTGTGTAGAGGTACATGATAGTGAACGATCCAGTGATGCCAAACTTGCCTATCATAGCAACAGTTGTTAGGACAACGCCAGGTGCTACGAAATTCAGAGTAATACAATGACATTGTTTATGATAAGTCAAACGTATGTTAAATGTAATAAACGATCAAACATATAACACCATCATTAATCATCACTTTATTCTTCAGAAGGCTCGTTCAGATATGACGCGGTTAACCGCACTGGAAATTATATATATTTTCTTAACGAGTAAATAAATGTCAAGAGTGCCCCAAAGAGTTCCACGCGCACTTATTTAAATATATGTTACAAAGTACAGAAAGGTGAAATGTGAAGCTCATTACACTTTTCGTCATTTAAAAATAATTAATGAATACAAAAACGCCACGGTTTAATGCCTCATCTGTGTACAAGGCCTGAACTGGTTAACTGTTTATGTTAATGAAAACATAAAATAAACAATCTACATATCACACTATCTTTAATTATCACTTTGTTCTTCCAAAGGCTCGTTCATATATTTCGGGTTTAAAATAATAAGTGCAGGGCGTTTTTCTAATCGTGTAAACGAAATGGCAAGAGAGCGCAATAAAGGTCGGCCTACACGCACTCATTTAACTATCTGTTACAAAGTAGAGAAAAGTGAAATGTGAAGCTTATAACAGTTTTAATATAACAAATAATTAATGAAAACAAAAACCCGCCGCGATTGATTTCCTGATATGTTATTAAGGCTTTAACTGGCTAACTATTTATGGTAAGGAAAAAAAGAAAGGTAGCAACCATATACAAATTAATAAATCAAAACAGTTTATTTTTCTTCGTATTTTAAAGGAAAACTTACATTGAAGCATGGAGGGGACATTTGTTTTTATAGATAAAATGAATGTAGGTCAAACACTTTTTTTTTTTAAAATTCTTTTTATAATTTTATTAAACTATTTTTTATTTTATTAAACTCTTACTTATAAACGCGGTCGAGACACAAGCTACCCCACCGAGCAGCATACAGAAGATAAGACTAGGCTTTCGACCAAAATACTCGATTATAAAGACATCCATAATAAAAGCTGGGATCTCGACACCGGCTGAAATTGCGAAGGCAAGATAGTCGTTGGTGCCAAGATTGGAGCTGTTTAGCGATAAGCCGTTGTACACCATGGAGTTCACCATCCTATACAATTAACACACAAACAATACTATCAATCGATCTAACAAACAAGTACACATATAAAAAAAACACATTTTAAAATAATGTGTAAATATGAGATCAGGAAAAATAAAAATATCAAAGAAAGAGAGAGGGAGAGAGAAAGAAAATATCCATAATTTATATATTAAATAGAGATTCTGCAAATGTGAGAAAAAGAGGGTATGTGAGTATGAGAGAGCAAGAGAGAGAGAGAGAGAGAGGGTGAGAATTGAGAGAAAATTTGCCAAAGATATATAAAGAGAGATTCGAAGGAGGATGTGAGAATGGGGTAAACACAAGGAGAAAATGGAGGGGATATTGTTTATCTGTCTCAATAACAAAAACTTGTAATATTTTGTTCAAGTGATTATAATTGTAGGGATAAGTATGAAAGCGTAAATATTCGTGCTTGACCGGCATGTAAAAAGACGAAATGACAACCCTACAATTCATAGATTAGATAGCTTTTATCTTCGAAAGTACACACAACGTGATAACGTGGTTACGTGAATAATATTTACGAGCCATCATCGGACCAAATATCTCTTTGATCGGACTTGATTGACAAAAGGTGGCCTCATAAAATCAGCCATTGTATCGACGGGATAGCCATGGCGCTTTATTTGAATACATGGTAACTCGGCTGCCCTGATAAACTCTTCATTTCTACATGGCCGGTCAAGCGGGGGAAATATTAAGAACTATCATACTCTGACGTCACTAATATTACAAAAGATGTGTGGGTTGTTCTTCTTACAATTCAATCAGGTGAAATGCTCTTTGTTATCCCTGAAATAGGAAAGGAATTGATTAAGTGTCAATGGAAGCTTTTAATACATTTTATAAATTGATCTTGATATTGATTAATCAAAATATGACGTAGAATTGACCTGATGGTTACCATAAAAAAGGCTGATATTTACCATATGGAGATAACGCTGTAGTTTGCAAATACAGACAAGAATGATAGTTACCTTATACAGATAAGGCTGATAGTTACCCTATAGAGATAAGGCTAGTAACCATATACGGACAAGGCTGGTAGTTACCATATACAGACAAGGCTGATAGTTACCATATAAAGATAAGGCTGATATTTTAATACCATATGGAGATAAGGCTGATAGTTATATACAGACAAGGCTGATAGTTACCATATACAGATAAGGCTAGTTTAATACCATATCCAGACAAGGCTGATAATACCATATACAGATAAGGTTGACAGTTACCATATACAGATAAGGCTGATATTTACCATATACAGATAAGGGTAGTTAAATACCATATACATACAAGACTGATAGTTATTATATACAGACAAGGCTGATAGTTACCATATAAAAATAAGACTGATATTTACCATATGGAGATAAGGCTGCAGTTACCATATACAGACAAGGCTGATAGTTACCATATAAAAATAAGGCTGATATTTACCATATGGAGATAAGGCTGCAGTTACCATATACATATAAGGCAGATAGTTATAGACAAGGGCGGATAATTACCATATACAGATGAGGCTAATGGTTCGCAATCGCATCCTTGGTGTCCGAAACAAATCGAGAGCCGTCGGTCTATGTGCCTTCAGAATGCGATCCTTGGTGGATGAGAGAGATAAATAAAGAGGAGAGATGGTATTATACGATAACATAAGTTCAGTACACAAATAAAAACGAAAAGTTATTCTTTGCCAAGGGTATTTATATGAGTGGAGTGAAAACTTTGTAGATTTGTTAATACTCGAACTTTACCTATATTTTCCACTTGTGAAATCGACGTTAAAAATTATACATTACTTCACAGAAATGAATTTCCAAAAAGCGGATTGATTATCAAAAAGTTTTGACTAATCGCAAAACGACATTTCAAACTATATAGAAAAAAAAATCCCAGTCGAAAACGGTTAGTTGATTTAAAGTTAGTTTGACTAAAAGACCTTTTTTTTGGGGGGGGGGGGGAATCACAACATTTGTAACGACTTTCTTGATTTAAAAAAACGTTTTACCTGTTCTTCTTTAAATTCTGTTGTGAAGAGAGGGCTTGGTAATTTGGCATTGTTGACCTCAGCGACCTTCCTGATGACCTTTTCAGCTTTGTCGTATTTCCCAACAGAAATAAGCCATCTAGCGGACTCAGGCAGCCATCTTGGATAAGATGAAATGGATTATTAATTCAATTTATATTTAACTTTGTACACATTTGCCTAGAAACAAGAAACATTCAAATGTACCGAATAATTATATTACAATTTCAAAATGCAAGTCGAAAAACCTTATACCCCCTTCACTTATACAGATTTTTATTACGAGTCCTTATATGGGTCATACAAATTTACGGATTTTTCAAGGATTTTGCCACTTTTACGACCGATTTAAGAGTTGTAACTAATTATTATCAGCTATTTACGGTTTATTACGGATTATTTCGGGTTAATACGATGTATTCACGGCGCAATTCCACGATTTGTTACAAGTTGTCACGAATAACTACGAGCGACTTACACCATTTTACGTCGTTGCCCATTTATACCGTTGCCAATAAAAAATAAAAAAATTCTCCTCTCCTCTCTTCATCAAATGATTGTGACAATGTGGTTTATTCTTCATAGATAACATTTGAATCTTCGCAGAAAGTTATTTAAGTAATTGCTTAATCTTTCCGATTCTTTTTGTGTGTTGAAATATTCGATCACATCCTATTACCATCAGATGACCAATCTCCACAGTCTGACTCCGATTCGGATATCGATAATGATCAAGACTCTGTCTCTGAATATTCCGACTATGCGTAGAACCTCTGATTTGTCACATCTATCCGTCCTTAAAGGTATGTTGCAACAAATTTAAGACATTTACCATACCTAGTAAGAGAGCGCAGGGTTGTGTATGTAACTGATGGGCAGATAAAAACAATCAAGCTTATTTGACATTGTGGCCACCAGTTAAATTACATGTAAACTGCATTGTGACACTTAAAAAAAATGAACATGGCTTTGTTGTCACTCCTATCGTATTTTAACCCTAGAATGAAACTGCTCTTTCTCATTCAGTGTGAGAGTGCATTACAGCACAATTTAGGTCAATTAAACATTTTTGACCCCAAATGACCCCATTTTGGCCTTATAATGACTCCTTACATCAATTGAATAAATTAAATTTAAAAAAAAAAAAAAAAATTCATTCACTATTATTCATCAATTTACACATAATTTGACACAAATAACTTCTAAGTCTGTTAGTGTATTTTGATCCCAAAGGAGCTCATTTGACCCCTAATGACCTTATTTTGACCCCTTATATCTTTTGAATACGGTCTTCTTAAGTAGAAATTGTCTCATTCAAATTTCTAAATCAAAATACATATAAATAGACACAAAAAGCATGAAAATTGATCGATCCTAACACTTTTAGTGTATTTTGCCCTCAAATGAAAGTTCGTTGACCTTTTGACTTTTCCGGCCATAACTTCTTAACGGGAGGTCAGGGGTATATGATCATATACACTTTTTTGTTCAGTATGACGAGACAAACAATTTGACATGTCTTTTAACATAATCAGGGCATTTAAAAAAATTGACCCCCTGTTGACCCCATTTTGACCTTATTTTGACCCCTACAAGAGTTGCCGGGGGTTAGGAGGGGACTACCCAAGCTAATTTTAATCATTGACCTCCAAACAACTCAAAAACACTTAAAAACCTTTGTCCCCGAAAAATATCAGCGGGGTCTACACACTTTGACTCTACTATGGCAATCAGGAGCAGGAGCTCTACAGGGGTGTGTCCTGTTTCCATTGTTAATTCTTTTTATAAAATTGATTGTACTCGTAACAAAATGTTGTTGTATAATTAGGTATATGCTGATGACACAGCCATCACAGGGTTCATCGATGATAGTGACAGTGCAAATGAATATTTTGTTCATTTGTTGATCTGTGTGAATTGTCATAATCTCTCTCTCTCTTATTGTTCTAAAAAACCAAAGGGATGAAAGTAAACTTTGTGTAGATCATGAACCTTTGTATATTCATAAACAGGAAATTTAGAAAAGGAACATCGTACATCAATATCTAGGGACGTGGTTGATGATAAGCTGCGATGAATTTCCGAATTGATGTTAGATTTCACCGAAACTTCAGGTAAGAGATTGATTTACAATACTACGTGTCAAATACCCATCCGGATGTGAATGTAAACATGTATTTTAATATAAAACGGCATCGCTCTCTCTCTGGCAAGATAGACCCATTTACTGATATATTTTAATGACTTGTATCCATGTTTCTTCCATTCACCTCTGATAACCAACTATTTCAGCACCTGCTATCAATGATAGCATCGCTATCGATGGGCTCAACTTGGAACACAATATGTGTTGATATGTCTGGCAAATCTCACAAGCTTTTAAGTTCTTAAGAGAAACTCTTGTTCAGATGTATAAATACAATTTGTAAAACAGTCTATGCACATAGTTTTGTGAGTGACATGAAACACAGCAAAACAAACAAAAACATGAAAAGCTAAAGCGGGCCCAAATGAATGTCACTCTTTATCCTCCCATCACTGTAATATGTCAATATTTAAACAAAAATATAAAAATTGCCAAAGTATGATGATCGTAACCACTACCAAAACAGAAAACAAAAATACCAGAAAAGGTATCTTACCTGAATAGGATGAAGATGGCGAGGAGAGGTGCAGTCATGACCAGTTGTAATGTTCGCCATGAACGAATGAAATAAGCACACAAAGCAAGTACCATGTATCCTACAGCATAACCGATCGTCGCTAGCATCACCAAGTACCGTTTTGAAGGACCGATAAACTCCGTACCTATCATTCATATGAATGCAGACATGTTTTTTTTAAATATATATAAGAAAAAGGAGTGTTTCCCCTGTGACATGTTTGTAAATCGACAAAATTAATAAGTAGAATAAATTTCGTAAAACAAACTCATACGTGACAGATACGACACAATTAAAATACATTAAAATCAATTTTAAAGAAGCATCTGGCCAAGTGGTGCAATTACCCTTTATATCAAATGGAAAAACAAAAAGAGGAAAAGACAGGGGGAAGCAAAAGGGGGAAGAAAATGGACAGGGGCTAAGGGAACGTGAAAAGAAGAAGCTACGACCTTTTCTACACCTCCTCCTCTGTTTTCTGGAACAAGTATGGCGCAATATAAATACGATCATAAGTGATCATGAAAAGCTTCACTCACCTACACCAAGCACAACAATTATAAAGTAACGTTGCTGAAAACCATCGCTCACCAATAACAAACAGGATAATGTTGAAAGCAATGTTACTGAAGCCCATGAAGAATCGCATGGTGGCAAAGAACCACCAATTGGGTGAAAAGGCAATAGCTACTCCAGAGATGACAGCAACAGCGTTGGAGAGGATGAGTGTCCACCAGCGTCCAATTCTGTCAATAATATCAAGAAAGCATACAATAATATATATATATTGTAATTCTGTCCTCTTCGGGATGTTTTTTTTTGGTGTGTTTTACTATAAAACTCGCTTATTGATAACTTTCTTAAAGGTGAAATTCAAAGAAGATCACAAATATGTCAACTAATGTATCACTAGAACCTGGTAAGCTTACAGATGGCCATCGTACAAGTTTTAGGTCAACTACATATCGGGTGATTTATAAAAATTAACTAAAAATACAACCACCTCCATAGCAGCTGGGATATACGAGAGATTCGCCGGAAAAATAACGATGTTTTAATGACGTCACTATAAGGACCAACACTGCCCAAGCAGATGACATCCCATAGAAAATGAACATAATTGCAAAGCTATTATTTCTCAAATTATAATGAGTTTAGTGTATATAAATTTAATGGCATGTCAAACCATTCAAAAGGGGATATGACCCGATTCTGATAACTAAAATCTTTTGCTTGTAAATACACAGGATAGGGGTTAATTAACAATCAAACAAACCAGACTTTCAAATTTAAAAACCCACGGAATGATATTAAGGACGGCATTTGTTCCCTCTTGAAACGCCGAACATACCCCGGTGTGTGCAGCTGAATATACTATGGCGTCTTATTTTGTTTACAAGCGACAGATTCCTTTATTTTTGTATCGCTGCATTTGTCATTAAAATAAAACCATGCGCGGGGTTTAGAGTGAGGCAATAGATCATACATTTAGCCTGACGGTAGTGAAGTATTTAAAGAGACTGAACTCAAGAGAAGATGAAAACACAGGCACTGAAAATGTGTGAGATGTCATGGGACGCCGTCTGCTTGTGCAAGTCATGTCCATACTGTATTCTTACAAATCTCAGCAGCGTTCGGAAAACTCTTCAGGTGCTATGCCGGGGCTGTATTTAAGCGTTTTGTAATTTATAATAATCATTACTTCGAATGTTTCCAAGCATTGAATTTTGATAACCTTGTCGAATCAAAGTTTCAACTTTGCAATAATGAACATAATTAGTTATTAAATTCAATGAATATCTACTTTAAAGAATAGAGAAGTGACAACAATTGCAAAATGGCAAATTAGCTTTATTCAAATACAAATGCAGATCAATATTTTGCCAAAGGACATTAGTGCCGCTGCTGGACTCGAACCGCAGATCTTGTGATCGACAGTCTGACAACGCAGTAACCATTCGACCACGACACCTCTACATAGTAACGGTAGTATTGGATCCAGCACATAAAATGTGTAAAGAATATTTCAAACAACTCTTTTATTTATTATGTTGGCCTCCTTCACTTCTCTAGAACAACGATTTGTTTAGATCTAGGACATATATTTGAAACTTTTCCACATCTGTCTGCTATTCTGTTGTTTAAGACCAAGCGACTGAAGCAGAAATTATTTTGCATTGGCATCTCCCTTTTTTCGAGTTAACTTGACCTTTGATTTGTCAGTTTCGTGGGCTGGCAGTCTACTGTATCTTGGCCAGTGAGGTCACAGAGGTCATCAGTGGCCACGAGACTGGTTGCACCAATGACGAGTACGATTAGCCACAACAACAGATCATTCGCCAAAATCTGTACCCGTTATCTGAAACTCACTTCCTTCTCATCTCAGGAAGTTAGATCCCACAGACAATATCAAAAGATAGCTAAAAACGTATTTCTGTTTTATCTAAAATCTGAATTTCACTACCTGTAGATTAGTTGTTGAGCTACTTTTAAAAATATAACTTTTATATTCATTTTTAACGCTCCCTGCTCAAAGGTTTCGGATACGTGCGCATTGAGAAAGTATATATGTAAATATATATATATATATATATATATTTAATATTATATCTACTGGACTTAGATCCTAAGGTAAATATAGGGTTACTACATGGGCAACTTACATGTCTGACAAGATACCGGATATAATAGAACCAGCTAAGTATCCTCCATAGAAGATGGATTGAGATACTTGGGTGAGATCATCATTGCCACATACAAGGTCAAACTGTATGGAAGAGATAGTGTCAAAAAGAGAGAGACAGGGAGTAAACAAAAGAGAGAGAGAGAGATAGATAGACAGAGAAAGAGGAGTAAAGAGCTATAATAGTACCATTTGCTTTTTAGAACCATCTGCATATCATAAAATAATGACTTCTTTTCATGGGTGTCGATCCGTAACTGATACCTATTCATCAGACGAGGCTAGATTCTTTTGTGTCGAAATGAGAAACCATTCTGGTCAATTGTAATGAGTTAGTACGTGTAATGGATGGCGGGCTTTTAAATGGTAAACAGCTGCACCGCACCATTGTACTGTTTGACCTATATAATTATAATCATTTATAATTCTTACTTTAATGAAAAAGTTGCTTTAATGAATGAATTATGAATAGTCCAGAGTAGACCTCTCTTCTTTTGTTCACTCGTATAAACAACTTGATCACAATAGATCGATCGAGTCCCTCTTAATATTTTGAACAGGTTACGGCGATCTGCGAGGGAAATGCAGGTCGTCATGGGTTCGGGTCAATTAACAACTGTACTATTTTGATGCCTGTAAACAAAATACACAATACAATGCCAAAGATTCGGACCTAAAGCTACGGTCACAAAGGTTCGTATGAACGATGCGTTCGTACGAATCTCCCTGTTTTTCCAAACTTCCGAACTTCCGTTGTCTGAAAATCGTTCGCACGGCGTTCGCAGCAGTTCGTAATGGTATTTGTGACCGAGGCTTAAGCCAAAAGGATCGGAATGGAAAAAACTTACATCAGTAACGGTAGATGTCTTGTATTGGCTGTCATCATATACCCATCCACTATCACATGGCGTCGTTCCGCTGCTGTAATTGGCTGGATCAATCCCAGGCCAAAATCCCACTCCTGACACGTTATATTTCTCACATTGTGCGTACTCCAGCTCACCATCTGACGTGTAGTTTGATGGGATGCTACCTTCCTTCTGGGCTAGTGCACAAGCTTCCTCTGAAAGTCCATACTGCTCACATCCAGGATTCCATTCGGGGCTCTTCAGGAACACAGAAATATAAATTAAATGTTTGCATGTTAACAGTTATTACCTCGATCCCAATACATTTCACCCACACAGGAAAATCGAAAGGTTTTACATTTTGATGAAGAATTAACCCTTAATATAAAAGGAATCCTAGATAACTACCCCCTAGTATAGTTGTCCGGGGGTAGTTGTCCTAGAGGATGGTTGTCGTAGGGGGTAGTTGTCTGGGGGTAGTTGTCCGGGGATAGTTGTCCTGGGGGTAGTCGTATGGGGGTAGTTGTCCAGGGGTAGTTGTCCCGGGGATAGTCGTCCTAGAGGGTGGTTGCCCTAGGCATAGGGGGTAGTTGTTCCTAGGGGGGTAGTTGAGTGGGGTTGGTTATCTGGGGTGGATGTCCAAGGGGTAAGTGTCCTAGAACCTATATATTTATTATTCCTTGAACTAAGAATGCTGCTCTTTCCGTAGAAGATATTACGTTAAGTAATAAAGAAAAACCTGACAAAATTATGACCGCTGAACATATTCTTACCTTACACCAATGGTCGACGGGTGCATTGATGAAGACAGATATCATCGGGGACCATGATATGGTGAACTTTAGAATAACGACGATGATATACAGACGCCGCTGATACCGTCCAAACTCACCAACATCATTCAAAATATCGTCGAATTTCATTTCTTCTCAGCTATTAGGATCTTCCTATCTAGATGATGTACTCCCTGATAGTTATTATTTGTACGAACGAACGAGGTGCACCAACGCTCGAATAAGATTAGTAAATGACTGATCGAAAGTAATTCACATGAGTACCTATTATCGTAAGCCCACAAGGGTACAAAATGATTATATAAATGAGGGCGCTGTTTAGCCAGTGTAATCGAAGCCATTGATTAGCTGAGCTTCAAATTTGGCTTAATATAGCAAATACTGTGGTTTTTGTTATGAAAGCAAACAATAAGTTGGCCAAAGTCTGTGGACAGACGGCTCTGCTTGTAACCAGATCAGGTCAGTGTTTCATAAAGCCTTTTATCAATAACATCTGGCACAGAACTATAATTATATCATTCTACTATTGACATGTTAAATCTGTAATTGTACCAATTTACGCTTGATTAACTTATGGTGTTGACTTGCTCAAAGTACAGTACCTGTGCTGAGGTAAATGTGAGGTGACATAACTTTTTTTAATGAATTACCTAAGAATATGCAGTAGCGTAGCCAGGTTGTCAGTATTTGGGGAGGGGCGTGCATAGACCTGTAAAAGAGGGGTGCAAGCGATGCTGCAGCATTTCCTGTTCCTATCCAGTACAAGTTGATTGGATTTTAAATAATTTTAGCTTTTTGTTAGGCTGCATTTACATTGGATAGGCACTTAATAAGGCAATATAATACATTTACTAGTATGTTTGATTATGATCATAATGTTTGATGTGCATAGTTGTCGGAACAAGAAACCAGAGGTACACCACACATATGCATACACACTTTTTTTTCATAAGTACGTCTATGCCTCAGGAAATTGATGATATTGTCTGGATCTAGGCATACTTTGCTTTCCTCAAGGTCAGCTAATGTCGATAAGGATGCGTCGTTTATGACCTTGTTTATCTTTGGGTTTGACAGTTAGACAATACCGAAAAGTTCGTTAAACTGAGATTGATTTCACCTACTGGTGACCTACTGTTGTAGTTACATATTTAATTGAAGCAAATAAATCCCGTTCCCCGCTGTTTTCGGAAAGTTTCGTCAGACATCTATGGTAAATGACTCTATTTTGATGCCATAATTGTGCTTATAATAAAAAAAAAAGTTACCTTGACAGTTCATTAAAAACAGTTATTTGACAACTTTAATGTATTTTCTCAGTAGTAGTTCAAGAGCTGTGTTAGAGAATATTGTAAAAATATCAATAATCATGACGATCAGTGCTATTTGGTCCAGACTTGTGGTCAAAACCAAAGGCAAAAGTGACTGCATTATTTTGTGTAAAGCGTCCGGAAACCCGTCCGGAAACACATCCCCTTACGCCATATGTAGCTTGCAAGGGAAAAGCCACAACGGCAATCTATGGAGAGACTGATTATTACAACATTATCAGTAATTGGGTCTCATTACCCATGGAAGCCAAATCAGTATTATTATTTTAATGCGTGATTTTTTTCAACTCTATACATTCCGATCAATACGACGTGTACTTTAAGACATAACATTTTTGTTTGACTTCTTATTCTTAAAGGGAAAGTCCACCCCCAAAATAAGTTTGTTTCGATAGAGGCAGAATAATAAGAAAATCAGGTGAGTGAAAGTTTGAGCAAATTCTGAATGAAAATAAGAAAGTTATGAATTATTGAAGTTGTGATCAATCAAATACAAATTAGCAACTCTGTGACTTATTATACGAGCTCTCCTTCATTTGCTTTGTGCATAATATTCCATAAAATCATGTTTTCTTCGTTATTGATGATGGAATGTATATTTGTTCCTTGCAGGGGGAGTATAGAAACATATTTGCAATTATTATATTTAGGGTGCATGTACGGTTGAAATTTTTCTTGAGGGAAAATGAAAATTTTAGATTTTTTTAGTACTGAGCAAATGGAAGTTGAGCTCGCATGATACGTCATAGAGTTGCCAATTTGTGTTTGATTGATCACAACTTCAAAAATCCTAACTTCCTTATTTTTAATCGGAATTTGCTCAAACATTCACTGACTTGTTTCTCTCATTTTTCTACTCCTATTAAAACTAACTTAATTTCAGGGTGGACTTTCCCTTTAAAGGCTATAATCTTTCGCCATCACATTTTATAAATGAAATATTAAATATTTGTAATGACCTCAAAGACATCTGAGTTTTGCCTTCAAAGGGCCCATGACATCGAAATACATCAAGTGTATTCCTGTTGGTGTGGAGTCCTACATACATCTCATATTTTTATATGTAAACTTTTGAATTTGTTTCATAGATTTTTAAATATTTTTTGAATTATTTGTTTTTTTAATTTAAACTTGCTAAGCTCAACCCCCAAAACCTCCAGATCTCATTCCCCTTGTGACATCATCTGTCAGTCATCAATGAGCTAACTTGAGAAAGTGGTATGTATCTTTGCCGAAGTCGACCGCCTGTTACAATACATAATACAATAGCAACATACAAGTTGCTATGTCAGACATGCTGTAGCATCATCAGGAAGACAAAGGCAATCATGATGTATTGTACATAATTTTGTATGGAAGCATGAAATTCTATTATGAACGTGTGCTAAGTTAGGGGAAATTACATATCATTGTTTACTCTAGAATATTAGTTTAGTCTGACATGTCTGACATAGCAAATTATATGTTGCTATTGCTTGTGGTATTTTAACAGGTGGTCAACTTTGGCAAAGTTACATGCCACTTTCTCAAGTTAGCTCATTGATGACTGACAGATGATGTGGAATACGATCTGGTGGTTTTTTGGGTTGAGCTTAGCAAGTTTTAAAAAAACAAATAATTCAAAAAATATTTAAAAATCTATGAAACCAATTCAGAAGTTTACATATCAAAATATGACACGTATGCAGGACTGCACACCAACAAGAATACACTTGTATTTCGATGGCATGGGCCCTTCAATATAAAAAACCAAGAAACAAACAACAAACAAATAAACAAACAACTGAACTGTGACGATATTGACAAAATAGAACTTTATAGAGCTCTAACCTGAGCTCTAACTGAAAATATAATCGTGTGAATTTTGGTTGTCATCATAACCCAATTCAATTACGTTAATACATGTCATGTACAGTTAATAAATTACGTAAAAAAAAATGATGAAATCATTTACTTAAACAAAAGTCTAACCCCATCCCTGTAACTACCCAACTCCGAACAAAACCCACTACCATCCACATCTCACTCATCCTCACACGCACACAGGCACAATCACATACGTATGTATGTGATAATATAGCACTTATAAATAATATAATATAGCACTTATAAACTATATTAAAATCTTGAGAAAGGCAAAACGTCCTTGTATCGGACAACAGTAAGAGACATTTCCCCCCAGCTAAGTGCTTTATGTGGGCTGTTTTGATTTATTATTTACGTCAAAGGTTATTAAAAGAGATTCAATTCATCAAATTTCTAAGCACTGCTGAAACCACAACATAATTCACTTTCGATGGGAGCTGAAGACAATATCTCAATAAAAAATATTTCATTTTCTCGTTCATGCAGTGAGAAAGGTGTATAGAGTATACACACTGTTTATCATATATACATGTTGACATAGGTGTTGTGTCTTTACATTACTGTGCTTTTTTTGTTTGCATTTAATGAAGTTGATATTTTGATCTCTCGATCATCTGCAATATTTGAACTGCGGGTTTGCCTTCTGATTTAGCCTTGTAAACTGTGTGTTTGTTTTCAGTTTTGTCAAAAACCAATCATCTGTTTGGTTGTCGACTGGGATAATCCAAAACCAACATATTTCCATTCGATCATCAATCTTTGTGATAAAATATTGATGATAAAAGCACCATGTGGAAACCTGATTCAATGAAGATCCCTATCTTGCTAATAGCTGTGTATTTACATGGATTGACGACAGAGAGTTCTGGAGAGATGAACGTTATCTTAACACCAACAAACGCTGTCGTTTCTGATAGAGAAAACGTTACCCTTCAGTGCATTCTCAGTGATGTTGATACTCGTTCCTATACGATAAAGTGGAGTCATACTCCGCAGGACAGCTCTGGTCCTCTTCAAAGCAACACAACTTTAATCGAGTACACTCTATCTAGAACACTCAAATCTTCACTGACTCTATCAAGCCCAGGCCCGGATTTCATCACGGTGTTGTATTTTTGTGAAGTGCACTATACAGGTCGAGGAGGGAATCTGGTATCCTTTGCTCAGTCTGTAATATCTCGGAGCAAGGTTGAAAGGAAATCGGAATGTTTTAAGTCTGATGGTCAAGGGAAGGTTATCCATTTGTTCTATCAAGGTCCTTCAGTTGATATCTCGTGTAAAGTGTCACGAGAACCCAACGTTCCAGAGATAAGATGGAATACTCTACAGGGAGATAGAGACGACAAGATACAGCTCAAGTTTAGACGTGATGATGATGGTTAGTATGATATAGTCTGTTCAAAGCCAGGAGGGCGTTTACTCTGTGTTAAAGTAAATTACTTAAGGTCTTTCTAGCTCCAATCATTAAGCCCATGGTTCTCACATTTGTATTTATAAATCAAATTTCGTATGATACATGAAACAGTTTTTATTTATTTATTTATTTATTCATCAGTTCATCCACTGAAAGCCAGTGGACCTGCTTTTCAAAAAGCCCTTTATAAATCAATTACAGTATAAAGACATAAATATCATAATAAAAACATCGAAAATGCACATATATGCACAATATCAAAATAAACATATATCTTTTGAAAATTACACTACTTGAATCATACAATCTTTATTATCAATAAATAAAATAGGTAGTTTTTGCATCCATAGAAGTTGCGTAGTCTAGTGGCTAAAAATATTAATGAAGAAGAGAAGGTCGTGGGTTCGATTCCCATCATTTACACCTGTAATTCTGTGTGCCCTATTTACTCATCCTAATTCATTTTATCGACTTTACTGTAGGTATTCATTTTTCCTCATTATCACAGGCACCTATCGATCTATTGCATCATCTCTGGCATGGAACCAACTGTCGGATGGAGTCATCTTGTTCTGTAAAGCAACGACTTACGGGGATTCAATCGTGGCAGAACCATGCGTCATTGGCCTT